CTTATACTATAATGAATGTTTCGTGTTTTAAAAAAATTTTCGATTTATTTTAAATTTAGTTTTTTTACTTAATAATTGATGTTAACTGTATAATATTTTTGAGATAGCTTACTGGCCTGGACAAGTGTTACATTGTTGAATAAAACTTATCAGTGATATCTTCACAAGAATATATATATATATATATATATATATATATATATATATATATATAAAGTTACGCGGAATACCCTCAGATGGTTGAACAAACATAATATTGCCAAATCATTGAACCAGTACAAAGTAATTAATCTAACAATTTTGTGTTCAGGATGAACTTTTTCAATGTTTCATTGCAAGTTTGTGTATATTGTAGTCAAACTGGTTTAATTAAAAATGTTATCACAACAATGATATTACAATATAATGATAGGCATATTAAAAAGGGACTAGATTCCAGTAAACTTGTCTAAAGATTTTATTACTCATCAGATATCCAAATATTTCATAATTTATTCAGTTATAACCGGTTTAAAGTATCGCACAGTTACAAGTCTGTATTTATACATGTCATGATATATTGCTTAAGAATCTATGTTATCTGTAAGTTTTCATATTTCTCAGTTACATGAGATTGATCATTCTGTAATGATGAACGTCATGTTTGTTTTGTCCAATTATTGCCATGATTTCGCTGTGTTGAATGGTTGTACTAATCAAACATTCATATATGCTCTTCCTATTTCCTACTTTTTATCAGCTAATTGATTGAGAGAACTATACAACCCTAGGAAGCTTCTTTTGATTAGTTCAAATTAAATATATGTAGATCAAATTATTTTCATGAACATTTGTTTTTTAGAAACTTAATTCGAATTTCCAACCAACTAAATGCGTTATCTTTGTTAAAAAGTTAAGCTGAACCTTGATCATCAGTGTTTGCCCATCAGCATCTCTCTCTTATCATTTGCCTTTTGAATTGATTACACTGATTGCCCTGATCTATCATGTTTTCTTCTTTAAAAAAATAAGGTGAGAGCGAGTTTTTTTGAGAATCATGAAATATCCGACAGTTGTGTTTTTTCCAGCAGCTCATATATTCTTCTAACTTCCTATATCTAATCATCTTGTCTGAAATCTAAGAGTAAATGTTGGTTACTGAATAATCGTGTTTATAATAAAACATATTCATCGTCAAATAAATGAGATATTTGATAGTAAATAAGATTGAGTAGGTCAATAAATATTTGATCCTCCTTGAGCCGACTTCAACTTACCATATGCATTCTTTATATGATGTGTTGTAGGACAGTTACTTGATTGATAAAGTTTATGACATGTTTTGAGAGTAATTAAAGTAAAATTAGTAGCAAAATCCAGTAGAACTGTCATCATCTAATCATTCAACAATACTGAATACGTAATTACGTAGGATGCGTTAGGTTGGAGTTGTCTACAGTTTAATAAATACAATGTTTGTTTACTGTTGTTTAAATGATGACGAATGTTAATGTAGTCTAGTACAATTTGACTGATGAGATAGAATTACCATGTTATTGTGTTTTTTTTCTCAAAAAGAATTTCACATTTCTTATCGATTCCTAATACATCCCAGTATATATATGTATATATTTTCATCACGTCTTGAGAAAAAGATTTTTCGTCGTTTGACTTTTTGAATATTATAGAGTAGTTGAGAGTATTAAGGTGTTTTAAAAAATAAAATATATATTAAGCAATCAATTCTATTCGAGTGTTGGTGTTTAGATTTTCAAAGAGATGAGGAAAAAGTAGTTTTAAAATGAAATTTCAGTTCATTACTGTCTATTTATTGTCTAGTGTGCTTAAACAAACAACAATGACCAAAGATTTTTATTGAAAATTTTCATTTAAAATTTTCAAATATATATATATTTTTGAAGTTTTTTATCTATTCAGAAAAAAATAAAATTACCGATCAATTGATTCGCATTTTCGTTTAAAAATCTCACACATTTTTTAAATACTTACATACGTTATTTATTATCTCGGCTTAAATTTCTTCTGATTTGTTAAAATATTCCTGAAAAAGACGAAATGATTATTTTGTAAAATTTTAAATGAATTATTATTAAGTGGAAAAGTGATTCTTTTTTTTCCCATCTTTATGAATAAGATAGGTCAGTAAAACATAGGAATAGTACCTGAAGATCTATTTGTAATTGTTAGTCTATGAAAAATGTAAAAAAGATCATTTCTGGTCAATACTGTTTACAATTATAAAAACAGATGAGATTTTTTTTAAAACAAATAATTCAAAGTTGGAGGTAGTTGGCGCTGGTGACCCGGTAGTATTTACCTATGTTTCAAGTTAGTTGTAACAACTCATGAGTAAGTTGACCATGATAGAACTGATATTTTCTTTATGGGATTTGAACTCAAACTGAATAGCTTCATAGTCTGAAACACTACCACTGAACTACTCAACAATTGACTAATCTCCTGAAGCATTGAATTCGTTACGACTGACTGATCATTATGTAATTTTTAAGACATTCCTAATAATCATGTTATAGCAGCTTGTTTGTTACAACGCCAGTCTTCGACAACTCAAATATATCATGTGACAACTATGTCATTAACACATTCCACTTTTTTCTAAACCATCTTAATCGTTAGTACAAATATGTCTTTTATTTGTTTATCCTTGTAATTCAATATTTATTTGTTATGTGTTGCTGTTGTTGTTGTATAGATTGGTAAATCTTGATAAATGCCAATCTTCTTACTGGCTCTGTGAATTGTCTTTTTAAAGTTAAACAAACGCTTCCAGCCGGTAAGCGCCCAGAGTAGAGATATTTACCTTCTCCTCTTCTTGTTCAGATTTCATTTCATCTACCTGCTAAACTGAATGTTTGAAACTAAGAAATTAGACTCACTTACATAGTTAATCTTTACCTATGTGTTTAGTTGAATTTATTAGTAGACAGTATGGATGAAAATGCGATTTTAAATATAAAAGTTAAATAAGATGGGAATCATTGAACAGTGATTAATATCATTTTGTTATCTTGATTAAGACAGAATAAGAAAATGGCAGTAATTTTAAGACTTCTTTAGGTAACTAACTACCATTTCTATCTGCTAATGGCAAATTCAATATTACATCTTCAATAAATCAGTTATGATGTAATTAATAACTACTATGTTCTTCATGACCATTCACTTTTTCCACACTAGATAGTTCACTGAATGAAGCAGAAAATAAAAGTAAAATTAATTCACTGCAAAAAGAAATTCACAATGGAAGTTTTAATGATGTAATTATGTTAGGTAAAACATCTAAAGTACTACTGATATATAAATATATACATATATATAGATTGAAAAATTACAATGATAAGTCTAATATTATTTCTTTGCTTAATTGACTAGCCCAAAAATAATATTTAAAAAATCTCTGTTGGGTACGTTAGATCCCAGAAACTCACATGGAAAAGGCCCTTATTTCAGATTTTTTCTGTTTTTGCGCATGGGCCTCTCAGTTGACCTTGAGATTACATTTCCCACCCGAAAAATCCTTGACTGTCATTGGTTGATAGATTATTTCAGTACGCTATTATTTTGCCCACAAGGACGTTTCTATCATGTATAAATAAACTTGTCAACCTCATATTTTCTGGGTGATTGTCCGATTCAGTACCACGCCTTATCATGACTTCTTGATATAGTTAGCCGAGCAAGGGACAAATGGATTAGAATAGCCTATCGTGTTCCTGCATCATATGTCTTCGCTCTTGTTTACCGAGTAAGATGAACTCGTATTTGTTTAAAGCATATCAATTGACGAGCATATCAAAACATAAAGTTTCATTCTATTTCATTTGAAGTGATAGGATTATGTAAGTGTGATTACCAGTAAGACTGAACTACTTAATCATGTATGCTATGTTAAAAATTATTCTAATTACAAAAGAGAAACAACATTTATTTAAACAAACACCACATTAGTTTCAGTGAAGAATAATATTTTTTTTGATGGTCAGTAAACACTTTTAAGAAATTTTGGTGCACCATTTGTCAATTTGCCGTGATTCAAGCAGATCTATGGAAAAAAAAATGTGTCTGTTTGTCAGACAATATTATATGTTCTACTTCTTTTGATATAATTATCCAAAAATGTATATATTGAAATCACAAGTATTTTTTGTGAGAAAAAATCATCATATGTTTTGAAATTATTACTGAATAAACTTCTGTTTCATTTAGTGTATCAAAAATAATGTTTAGAGATGTTTTTTTCAATATTTTTAATTTGATCATTATGAAATTGAAGTAATTGAACTGTTTGAATTATGTGCATAAGTATTTCGCTTTTTTATTTGAAAAATATCTTTTCTTTCTCTTAAAATTCTTTTGATTTTCTAATCGCATATCACGTGTTTCCAATCAATTAGAACCTTCTCCTTTGATTATCACTTTAGTAGTTCTCTCTCTCTCTCTCTGCCACACTGGAACATCATCAACATATCGGTGTTACACAGATTAATGGTTAGGTTGTTTGTTTGATGTTGACCATTAATCGTCACTTATATTTTATGACGATTTATAGATTATGATATGAGGAGTAAAAAATTCCAGATTTGTTTTCAATCCATGTTTAGACTGTAGATAATGCTTAGAAATTTTCATTAACCTTTAAAATAACAGGCACTTGGTGCGAGTCCTGTTGTCACGATGAAAAAAAAACTGCCTGCATTTAGGTACATACATACCTGATTAGTTTTAAACAAAAGAAGAACACTCACAATGTGAATTCTCTTGCTAGTCACTCACTATTCATTTTTGCTAAAAACATTTAGCGTATAAGCTGAATTTATTATGGACTATTTTTTTATTTTTGTGTTTTAATTGATTTCTTATTTAAATTACAATTTTTTTTTAAAAAAAAAGTGATTAACTGTTTTCTACATTAAATAACGTAATTTCATATTGATATATATTTGTCTCTTTTATTTCATACACTTTTTTCCTCACTACAGGTGGATTACACCATGATCTAAATTCCACCATAATAACATCAAATGAATTTAGACCACCTACAAATACATCATCCATCATGACGAAACCAACATTTACCACTAAACAAACATCATCTGTATCTACAACCTCGCCAATTTTTCATCGATCACATAGACCTCCACCTCCACCACCCCCACCACCTCATCATCCAGCTCCTCCTTCGATCTCCCATCATCAACATTATTGCCACAGTATGTCATCTATGCATAAACCATCACTTTCATTGCCTCCATTAGCTCAACCAACTGTAGTCAATACATCGGAAAATAATAATCGTTTATATTTTATAAATAATTTAGAACAAATAAATTTAGCAAAATTAAAAAAGGTAACTATTATTACAATAGTAATTATTATTAATATTATTATTATTACTGCTGTGTTTATTTATGTTGCCTCATAAATGGTTATTCTAAAAATTTTTTGAACATAATATTATGAACCGATTTAAATTAGGCAGGCAGATGGAAGCAGTCAACAGATGTTTTTTTTCTAGAATGGAAAGTTAGCATTTCACCCCTAGATATTAGGATTCTGGATTCGATTACCTGGATGACATAATATTTCCTAAATATGAATAGGTGTGTAATTCAGTTTTTTTTAAAGGGTTTGAATTTTATTGCTGTTGTTGTTCAGTATGGCAAGCGATGCGTCCACTTTTTGCGCATGTACATATCCTTTTAGCTTAGGATCTCGATAACGTCAGTGCTCACAATCATTTTTTTTTCAGAAGTATGATTGAGCTGATCATTTACAGCCTTTATCCTTAACAATGGTACTACTCGCACCTTACAAGTGAATTATAATTCATCTGAACTCAGTAACTAAATGGGTAACGTATTATTGTCAAGAGTGAATAATGATGGGTTCGAGTCCCGAAGTGAACTTTATCATTGAAATACAAGTATATTCAGTCAACTAGTTTCAAATAAGATGAGGTATGCAACTTGAATTCCACTGGCGATCACTATACAACTGAGCTTAGAAAGTAGAGAGTGCTTATTTACCGAAAACTAAAGTTTGACAATGACACTTGATAAGGTCATTAATTAACAGATGTATTCATTGGACCTAATTGACGCAGTGTGTTCTGTAGAGAATATCATAGTCTTTAGAAACAATGACCGATAAGCTTGAAAGCTCTTATAATAATTTTTATTAAGGTAGTTGACTGAGAAACCCTGGAGAAAATAACCTGTACTGTTTAGAAGAACTCGGCTGGTCAGTATGTTAATTACATACAAATTCAAATTTTTGATTACTAACGAATTTGCAACATCACTTATTTTAATAATACTTTTGGCGATAATTCATAGGTTGGTATCTACTTATAATGTTTTAGTCAAGTAACATAAACACTATACAATTAGTTTATCTACTCAGAATCCTGTCGAATCTCTTTTCGTTTCACTACAGTCATTTAGTGATATAATGTAGTTAAATGTAAGTTAGATTTTATTGCAAACTGTATCACAACACACCAACATTTTCCATGCTTTTTCATTTTGATATCTATGGTATGAAATACATATTCAAATTTACAAAAACTGAAAGTTTTCTTTCCAGAAAAAGAATATATTTCAATTGATTAATAAGGCAGATAAGTTATCACGATGGAACGTTGTCTCTGAATAACATGTAATGTTGTCTTATATGTATCTTCTGTGCATAGTTTTAATACGTTCATCATTATTGGTGATCACACCAAATGCTCGAAAAAGAAGAGCAGCAATTCCCATCTTCGAATTCGTTTTTGAATATTGTATTAGTCGTCGTAGTAGTGTAGTGAAGGAGAACTCAGGTGAGAGCAACCGAATTGTATTTAACGAAAATTACAGAGTTACTCAGTAAAATAGGAAAACCATATCGTAATCGGTTAATTTACAAATCTTCAATCCATCATCAATCGATTGTCGAACATTTCACTTATTCATGCGTTTCATACAAATTCCATTGTGTTCTCACTCTTCCTTTCTTGATCTTCCCCCATCTTCTGCCGCCAGATATTACGATTTCACTCGCGTCATTAACTACTTATAAGTAGCTCGCACCACAGTAGTAGCAGTAGTAGTAGTAGTAGTATTGGTAGTAGTAATAATAACTTTTCTTTTCTCTCCTCAACAATTCGTCTTTCTTATTTTGTTTTAATTTTTTCATCATGACTCACAATTTATCAATTGACCATAATTATGTTTCTTTTTTTTTCTCATTTAACTTTTATTCAAGTAGATAATTTCTCATGAGAAAAAACGATTTGGGCATTTTCTTTTCTATTTGCCTCGTTTTCTTTTTTCTTTGTTCCTCTATTATTATTATTATTATTATTATTATTATTACTGTTATTCAATCATTTCATTTTGGTTGGTTGTCCGTGACCTAATTACCTGATGAGGTCATTGAGTTGAAAACGATGCCACCAGAGTTAAGTTGGTAGTAGCAGTAGTAGTAGTAATAGTAGTTGTAGTTGACATTGAAGTGGAGAGAGAGATAGAGAGGTGAAGGGAAGTATTGGGAGACGAAAACGGGGAGAATGAAAATATCTCGTTATTCTTATTATTCTTATTATTTCGTTGGTTGGTTGATTAACCTAGTCAGCATTATGATAATAATGAGACTAGTATTATCAATGGTCGATCTAGTAAAGAACAATGAAAACTATTGCATTTAGGCCAAAGAAACGTGGAGAAAAAAGTTTTTTTTCAAAATTTGTTTTGTTCAATGCGTCGCTACAGCATTGAAAAAAATATATATCATGGTTTATTGTTCGATTTAGTTTAAGGATAGAAAAAAATTAGTCTGCCGATATGAATCATTATGTCAGTAAAAAATTATAGATATATATTACTGATAGTTGTAAATCTGTTATCTCAATGTTACACACATAGGTAAAACATACATCCTTTTTAAAATACTATCACTATTTTTGAAAATGACCAGTATGACGAAATGTGCTTGAATCCAATTAGAAATGGTTTGGATTATTTCGTTTGACCAGTCTTAGCTGTCATAATGGCATTTTTTGCGTAGTGCCTCAGTGTAGCCATTATGACCGAAATTTTATACAGAATAGATAGAATGTGATTAGAAGTAGAATCTAAACCATTTCAGATTGACTGGAATCTCATACCCATTGTACAAGTGAATGACGACTATCTGAACTCAGTACCTAATAGAATAACCAAATAACGTTTGAACCAGACAGTACTGGATTCAAGTCCCTCAGTGAATATCAACTCTGAGATGCAGGCACATTTATTCCTTCAAAATAAAACGAAACGCACATGCCGGGTCCCATTGCTAGACATCTTCCGTCCATTCCATATAAATGTGTTTGAATTGCCAATAAACTTTGAGGTGTAGTTGTTGTATTGAACTGAATAGACTAGCTTAGTTATGTGAGAATTTTATATCTGTGATTTGTTAATTAATTTGTTACTGAAGCCCATAGATGTCAGATCTCTAATTCAATAATGTCACTCGTTGACTAGTTGAGTACACTAATGTTAGCATTGCTTACTATGCAATCATAAATGTTAGTTGCTTTCCTTTATCGATGATGCTGATTAAATGTTTTCTAGTTCATATTTCCGAATGAAACTGAGGCTTCGCTCATTGGTTATTACCATTTTCAACATCATTTCTATTCTGCAGATCTACTTAAGTATTCTCTTGGTTTAATCTCAAGTTTTTTTTTAAACGCCCATCTTCTTGAGTCTCATCATGCAAAAGAGTACTGATGTAGCATGTATGTCACTTGTTTTTTTTATCAAAATGACAACATATTTTGTTCATATTAAATCACTCTTCATCATTCTTAACTAAAGATTACGGTGTTACTGACTAGAACTCAATGCAATAGCTATTTAGTTTGACAAACTCAAAAATCCTTACAAGTATCATCAGTAATATTAAGTTTGCCAGTAAAGGTGGATCGTATTGTATCCTTGGCTGTTCTGTTCAGCATAATAATCAAATTATTGTTGAATATAGAGAATACCTTCAACCATTCATTTCATGTTTATTAAATTTCAACTGTAATTATCTTACAGCTGAATAAACAAACAGAATAATTTCATTTAAGCCTAAGGAGGGTAAAAGACATAATAATAGTGAAATAGGACAAAAGCTGTATATTTTTATGAAAGGAATTCTATTTCGTCAGCCAGACTATTTATACAACCTAATTACTTCTGTATTTAAAATCAAAAGTTAGAAATTATCAAACATGACATGTCATCAGTTCAGAAATACTAATGAACAGAAGTAGGTACATGTTATAATTTTTTAGAGTGTAGAAAAGTGATCTCAAACTAATCTGAACAGAAATGTCAACAGTAAGTAGCCTTACAATCCATACAATCCATGTCACAAAAATAATTTTCAACTCAACTAACAATCAACATGAATTCTAATCGACATTTTAAGGTTACACAGCTGCTATTGTAGACCAACCAACCACCTAGTTAATCAGGTCATCAGAATTTAATTAATTTCATATTTCACGAATTGTGTTTACTACAGTTTACAATTAGTTTTATTGAGATTATTTTTATCGACAAAGAATGTCTGATAATCAGAGCAAAAGTAGAACAGTGTATACACTGAGTGAAAATGCATTGTTTGCCTTTATTTATATTTGTATAATTAAATTCTTTTTTTTTTTAAAAAAAAAAATGCAAATAACTCTTGAAACTAAATTTTTAAACTGATCATTTTTCTCTTCAGTGAATTAATTATTATTGTTGTTCTTGACAAATGTATTGATCCCATGTAAAATAGTCACATTTCTTTTCTCAAAGTATACACATAACTGATATTTTACAGACTATACTGAAATTGAATGTATTGCAGATGGATGTTGAAGAGTAATTATTTCCAGTGTAAACTGTTTGACAGTATTCACCTGTCATTGTCGATGTCAGTTTAACGGGTAAAAAAATTCTCTTGGACATCAGTCTCTAGCTAGTCGACACATTTTAGCGAAATGTTTATTTTTTTACAATGTTAAGAGAACTGTTTGTTCCCCTATACAAGTGAATCTCAAAACCCATGTTATTCATTGTAAGTAATTAGTGAAATTCAGTTGAGTGAAAATATGGCTTTAATAACTTGTCAGTATAACACCACTGATTGTATACATTGATTTGTATGATCTGTCAGTGGAAATTAACGTCAAACAAGTTTGATAACATTTTCCCCTGTTTTCTTGTCTTAGCTCTTCGTTTTCTTGTAAATTAGGATTGGAATAAAGGTGTTGTGAAATCAACTAAATCTTGTATTCTCTTCAATTCAATTCTTTTCTTTCCCTTTACTGAGCTACTTTTTTAACACTTGATTTTGGCATTACAAAATGGAATAAATGATATACTGTTATTCCATTTTAATTTTAAATTTTAACTGTTTATAATCTAGACTGATTTTAGTTAGATAATCATGAAGAGGGAGAAAGCATTTAGTAGGTTTTTTATCCTATTATGAAACTCTTGAACAATGCATATCCATGATGAATCTGTTGATGATCAAACCGCAAAATATATCTGATCTTCTGACAATCTCCTAACCTTTAGAGCATTGAGGTGACACTGAGTGGTTTACACGTCTGTTGAGGACGTTAGATCCCCAGAACTCACTTGGAAAGGGTCCTCAACTCGCTTAGATGACTGTCAGATAACATTTCCCACTCGAAATATCCTTGGCTGTTATTGGTTGATGGGTTATTTCAGTACGCTATTTTTGTTTCCCTCTCAAGGATGTTTCTATGATGTTTAAATAAACTCGATTTGTGTGCTTGAGGACCACATATTTTCTAGTTGCTTATAGAATACACTTTCTACACCATTTCAAGACTTCTTGATATAGTTAGGCGGGTCGGGAACAAACGGATTAGAATAGCCTATTGTGTCATTGCATCATTTATGTTCGCTCTCGTTTATCGAGTAAGGTGAACTCGTACTAGTTTCAAGCATATCCATTGACGAGCATATCACTTCCAACCTTTGGAACCTTGAGCTGACACTTGGTGGTTTACATGTCATTATACAATAACACTGGTGAATAACTGCATTGACAGATCTCATAAAGATAAAGACTTTTAAAGACAAACAACAACTTTGATAATTTTTTACTACTTATCTTCAAACTTAAAAATGATACACCATTTTGCTTCATTACACAACTAGAATAATGAATTATCAGGTTGATTTGCCTTGAATGCATAACTCACATTCACTAAAATTGTCTTTGTAAAAATATAGAATATCTCTGATTATGTCTAGAAGAAAAAAGGTTTGAACGTTTAATCAACCATCAATCTGATCGATAATCGTCTTAAAATATGCATATATTTATCTTCTGTTGCTCACTACATCATATATCATTCAAAATATGGCTTATGAAACTAGTGAAAACAGCCTTAAACTGCTTTGGTCTTGATATTTCCTCTCTATTATTCTAAATTTTGTTTTATAGTTCAATAATTTTTATTAATTCAATGAATTCTGCATTTTTTTGACTCACAGTGATTCATTTTATTATTTTCGTCGTATCCACAGATCTACTACAGTAAGCTGTGAAACTTACATATGGTATTTCTTTCATTGAAACATACATATTTTGGGTATAAGTTTCTTCCGTTCTCGAACTCAAGAAGGTTGATATTATGCAGTATATATTTTGTTATGGTTAACTACTCTACGCAACATGGTTTGACTATTGAGGTTTCATTATCATTCCTGCCAACCTTATCAACGCCTACTTCATGCAAAAGTGATCTTATTAATTAATTCAAGTTCTTTATACACGTTTTGTTTTAGTGTTCATCTAGTTTGTGGTGAATTGACTGTCCTATCGACTTTATTTGCCTGTTGACTATCTTATTCCATTGATATATCTGTCCACGTTGCTAGTAGGCCATTTTTGTTGTGGGGTTTAAAGACTTTATTTATTTCAAGGTGTTTATTGGTTGAAGGTTGATATAAATGCCTATATCTAGAAGTTCTCTTCGATTACTAGAATTTTGGCGTTAGAGGGAGTTGAATTTATTTGACATTATTATTTTTACACTTGAATTCATTTCTTACACAATGGTCAGTCTTTATTTTCAATCACACGCACATTCACACTCTAACACTTATTCACTCTTTCTCTCTCTCTATCACTTTTGTTATTTCAAAATTTATGTCAGTTCAAAATCAGCGCACCACTTCAAGCACTGTCCAATTTTGTTTAGTTTTAAATCTTATATTTGTTGTCACTTACAATTAGAAATTACTTCGATCATGTTGAAAATATAAATATACCGATAGATAGATAGATAGATAGATTTAAGGCATGACATTGACTGAATGAAACTAAATTCCGACTTTCAAAATGTGTCCGACATTTCAGCAAAAAGAAAAAAAATAGACCGAAGGACAAAATATCATATATAGTAACTTTGAATTTCTTATTGAAATCTATCTACATAGTATTTTCACATTAGTTAAGTGACAACAATAATAGTAATATTAGTAGGAGCAATAATCAGAGAAAACTACTTCTGCAGAGATACAAACAGAATTCAAAGTAAGAAAACATTTCAATAGCTTTTTGAAGTTCTTCAAGTGCACATAAATGACGTTTTAATAATTGTTTTACATACACGCATTCACTACATTTGACGTGAAGACAAGCTAAGGAGGAAGATTAAATATAACGAAATATATAACGTGTTTCTGCTGACATAAACTTGTAAAGCAAGCTAAAAAAACAAATGAATACTTACTTTTATCAAACATTCAGTCAATCGGTAAAATTTCACACATATAAATACTGAACAGGAATTCATGCTTTATTTAAAGAAAAAATATCATCTGTATATCATTGATTACAATTTCTCACAGCCAATGGGAAACAAGGATTTTAAATACGCATTTATCACCTTTAATCAGGATCGTAATTGAATAACTGACAGTCATATAGGCTGCTAGGCAGTTACTCATTAAAGACAATGGGAGATGATCGCACAGTATCGTGGATTAGTTAATTCTAGACCGATTGTTGCCAGCCGGGTGGTCTTGAGGTGCGATTAGAATACCGCATGCAGCGTTATGAATATTCATTGCTTAAGAGTTCTGTACTAAGATGGAGCGACCGTTCAGTGCTTCTAGGTTCTCAGTGGCCACCTAACTTAGACTAATGCATCAGTTTGATGAATTTCAATGACCTAATATTTACAAAGACTACTTCACAGTCTGATATCAACTAGACAAAATTACTGAAATTCCATCTCTGTTTTAGCTACTTTGCCTCATAAAAGTTGTAGCTTCAATTCACATCAATGGTCTAAACCATAAATTTTGTACAAACTTTCTAAATAGTATACTCTAACAGAAATAATTATAGCTTAAACTATTGTTACATAAAACACAAACTATCTGGAGAATTATCAGAAAAAAAGCGTCTTTTCTAAAAGAAAACCTTTTTATTTAGGATTTGGGAGATAATCATTATGTCAAAAGTCACAAACTACAATAGGAATAGAGCTAACTGGACAGGTAGAAAGTTGTTGTAAAATCTGAAAACAACAGTTAGTAGAACAAATCTCTGAAAAAGTATTCTAATTCATAGGACATTTTAAAACACTGAGGATCTGTTTTTTCTCTCCTCCTTATAATCATCACCTAGGACGTAGATTTTCTATGATTCCCTTGTGAAATTAAGATTTGTTAAAATGTTAAATCTTCCAAATTCTTCTGTTGAAAAATTTTTACTGACTTTTTTATTGTAAAAATATTGAACATCTGAATTACTTTTTTCTTATTTTTTTTAAGCTTCTGTATCAATGTGAAATTGTTGTTGCTTCTTTTGATTTTCTTCAAGTTACACTTCAAAATCACATTACAAACTGATACGTCAGTGATTTTTTCCATTTTACTTAACATCATCAACTCCTATGCAGAATGTTGCTTGCAATTTCTATCTTTCATTAAAAGAGAAGGCTGCAAACTCTAAAAATTAATTGATTTCGAACATAACTAGAACAACACATAATAAGCGAATAATACTGTTGTTTTCGATTAGATCGCGTCATCAGGATTTACTCTTAAATGCACATGAATATTGATATTTTATTTTTGCTATTACTAGCATTATTTTCATATCTTGTATTTGTTGGTAATTTTCCGCCACTTTCCATTCAACGTCTTCACAATCTAATTGTGTACACACTCCTTATTACATAATGGTTTTAATGTTTTGTAATGATGCAGTCTATTCGTTCACGTTTGATAGAACTTTCGTTATCGTAATTTTTTTTCCTTACTACTACCAGTCCAGCTGTCTTCCTACTATTATTTTTTGTACTTTTGCCTGTTATACGTGTAGTGACGTAATCTATTTCATTTCATTAGGGTTACTGACTCCAATTGCCTTGATTAGTTTAACATTTTCATATGAATATTCATGTATATTATAGAGTACAAAAGCCTGATGACGATCTAATCTAAAACATCAGTATTGTTTGCTTATTATCTGTGTTGTTCTAGTTTTCATATTTAATTCATATTTAAAGTGTTCTCTGATATCATTTTGCTCTATCTGTTTATTTTCGTTGTTATTTATTCAAGATAACCAATGATGATAACCTTGATCATATTGATGATAATAACATTCATTTGGAACGAAATCCAAATCAGTGCTGTGAACAGATTCATGATAGCAAACAAGGTGAAGATCTAAGAAGGAATCAGTAAGTTACCCTTTTTTTTTGAAAGTTTCAAATGCAGAGGTTGTTCGTGTTTTTGAAACTGTACTTATTGTAACTTACTAAATCCGATATTGATTTTGTAAATTCATTGAAGGATTCGAATGAAAAAAATTTACTCATAAACAGAATCTAAAAAACAAAAAGCAAATTAGGCATTGCGTCCTTGGAATACTACTAATAATAACACAAGTAGTGTATTGCACTACAGCCTTTAATTTGTTAGATAAGCATATATAAAGTATCTGCATAGATTAAAAAGAGTACCAAGAATTTGTGTAATATTTAAAAGAGAATTAAGTAAAGAATATTTCAAACTGAACAACTGGTTATTCTTTTCGTCACTTCTTTCATCATTTCACAATGTTACATCCAATAGACCAAATTGTTCATGTTCTAAATTGAAAATGGCAAATTTTACATTGTTTAAGTTATAATAAATATCATGAAATACAAGGGAAATACAATAACGTCAATGATTGCATTAACAAAATGATCATACGTGTACAGTCTACAGGCATTATTAATGAAGCTTTAAGTTAAGTTATTAATGCATTGGCAATTGTATGCAGTATTTGAAAAACCTAGCCTATTTGAAATTTACCGTTTTCCCGTTTTCTTATAGGGTATTTTTTGTCCGTTATTACGACACTGATGAAAGCTAATTGTTTTTTATTTTTAGAAAAAAAGAACTTTTTGGACTATAAGACTTAAGTAAGAGATGATCATTGTTATGTTAATCGTAACAACCAAAATAAATTAACAATGCAAAATAAGCATGAAAATGTTACCTGCTGACAGTGAATACTGAAAAAGTAAAAAAAAAAACTAACTGTTATGTATCCATCTTAAGACAATATAATTCAACGAACTATTGAACAAATTAAATATATTGTATTTTTGCGCGTAAATATTATTTATTTTAAAGAAAAAAAAAGTATCTTCTTACATGGATAACATTTCAACCATTCTGCTACATATTCTTCCAAACTTAAAACAATAATATTTTGAAATTAGGATTATCAATAATTTGTAAGAGAGTAATTTGCATTACGGGGTTGTGAAGATTGTTAAGTTACACATTTTTTTGAAACCATGAATCGAACGATGATAGACCACCATTAGAAACCTGGAAGCACTGGACGGCCGTTTCGTCCTAGTATGGGACTCCTCAGCAGTGTGCATCCACGACTCCTGCACCCCGCAGGATTCGAACCCAGGACCCTCTCTAATGTGCACGAACGCCCTAACCGTTAGACCACTGAACCGGTATCTTACGGTGTTAGACATTATTGGTTTAAGTATAATTGGGGTTGAATGTCCGAATTCCTATGGCTTCTGCTATGTGTAGGATCAAAATATATATACTACATGCGTAGAGGTGCAATGTTCTTTTCTGTGGAATCAGGTCGCTAACTTCATGCTCTATCCTCCTTTTTTCAACTTGTGGGCTTTGGATTACAGACAGTTACTTTAGAAAAACTGCAACTGGAATTACAGCATATAATATGGAGAGAGAAAAAAGTAATTATCTCTAACACCAGCTATATTCAGACATGAGTCTAGACTAGTGTGATAATAGCTTTTTAGTTTTTCGCCAGTATACTGAATGAAGGATGAATTCGAGGAGTGGGCAAAAACGAAGATAAGAAAAATTGTCCATTATAGTAGTGAGGGTGAGTTTGTCTGTGTGTGTGTGTGTGCAGATAACAAAAATTCAGGCCTGACTTGTTCCAAAATGAATTGATTACATGCCACGATCAAGGAGGGTAGTGAATGCTAATTTCCACCAAATACTTGTTGACAACAACATAATCCATTAGCAACAGTCAGTAAGTAAATGAAATAGGAAAAAAATAAATGGAATATTTTAGAATTGAAGATAAAATCATAAGTAGAATTAAATATTCAACAGGTCTTGTGCTAGTTGCTCATCGTATATATATATATATATATATATATATATATATATATATATATATATATATATATAGTAGTACTAGTGTGGTGCGAGCTACTTATAAGTAGTATATGACGTGAGCGTCAATGTAATGTCTGGCAGCAGCAGATGGGGAGAGATCAAGAAAGGAAGAGTTAGAAGAACACAATGGAATTTGTATGAAACGCATAAATAGTGACAATGGATTGATGTTTTGCAACAGGAACAGTCCAGTTTGATATGATGAACTGATATTTTGTAAATTAACGATTTACGATATGGTTTTCCAATTTTACTGAGTAACTCTGTAATTTTCGTTAAATAAAGTTCGGTTGCCCCACCTGTGTTCTCCTTCACTACACTAGTAGTTTCGTAGGTGTTGACCTTAGTTAGATATCCATTGTAAGCTAGGAAATTATTTGACAGCTGGTTTGTTCTTCAAAACTGAACTACTTAACCACATCACCATTGATACTTCCAGGATTCAATACATGGTATTTATTTCTCATAGGCAGCGTTCTAACTGTAGACAATCTCTCCAACTCAGCTACACATAGGTTGAAGCGTGTTTCAACTAACAAAATGTAGATAATGATAAGATATTTTCAGCAAAATATTTTGTTTCTAAATAGATGATACGAATTATTATAAATAAAAAATGTTTTTTCAACAAGTTTCTCAATCTTTATCCAAAGATATTTTCTAATCAGTTTTATTTATATGCCAAATACTTTTCATTACAATGTTTATATATATATATCTGAAGTTTGTGATGATGTTGTTGTTCAAAACAACAATGAATGCTCCACAACCAAAACATCCAACTCATGGAACGAAACTTCACCACAACCATCCACCTGAGCTACAAATATTCTCCACTATGTCAACTGGATTATTTCTTGTTGAATGTTGTAACGATTGTTGTTCTCTTCAGAATACTTGCTTATCTGATCACCTTTTTTTTGTTCAATTGTAGTACTGCACCGAATGTTTTAAGCCAACCTGGAAGTTATTTACCTCAATCAGTTATAGATGGAGTAAGTTGTTTCGGTTGATTTTACTCAATATATATATATATATATATATATATATATATATATATATATATATATATATATATATATATAAATGTTAAAAGCCTTTTTAAAACTATTAAATGAAAGTATTTTAGTTGGATTCATCAACTGATTATTGTTAGAGAACCTTGAAGCACTGGACAACTTTTCCATGCTGGTATGGGATTCATCAGCAGTGTGCACCCACGAACGTATGAGTGAGAATCAAATTAAAGTACTTCAGTTTCGCGAGTGACCACTGATCAGGCATTTAAGATTGTTATTGCTTAACTAGTCAATCTTAGTATTTCGCGCGACCTCATTCATTGTCTTCGATAGTTACTACACACACCCGACAGGTACTGAACTATAACTCTGAAAATTTCCTCACCAAGCTAGTCACTAGATTCCACATTATGATGATTTTCGTTATAGAGTTAAAGAGATGTTGAGTTTCCTCGAAATCATGAACTTATCCATGTTCATTGTTGGATACCGACTCAGTGGTCAACAGTTTAAGCGTCTACAAGCGATACCGAAGGTCTTGGGTTTCATTCTCACCTATTGCTGATGATGGACCAAATGGCCATCCAATGTCTCCGTGTTTCCAATGGTGGTCTAACAATGATCGATTCATGATTTCAATGAATCCGTTTTGTCGTTCAAGGTTATATCTATTCATTCATTCATTCATTGCGTAAACATTTAACAGTAATAAAATGACAGTGATTATATACTCAAATAACTACTATGAATAATGTATAGATAAATGATGATTCATTATTCATAGCTTAGCTTACTTTTTACACAGTCCAGGTTCTCATGAATGTAATGTTTAATACATTCCAGAGATTTATCTGCATTCGTCAAAATTTTTTATGTCTATTTGATGATTAGGCAAATATGAACAATCGGTTTATCACGACATGACATGATATGTTGGTATTGATCAAATTGGTTACAGCCAAATGATGTAATCTTTGTTTCGATGTCACAATATTAGTGGCAGACCAGTACTAAACAAACACCGAATTGATCAGTACTAATTATTCGATTCATGGTCAATATCTGTGTGATAATGTCGGGGTTCATTCGAGCTAGAATTAGCTTAGTGATGACATTATTAGACTGTACATCATAAACGAATAACAAACAGTAGAGAGATTATTCCTTTCAAAATGACAGATATATGCATTGCTGTTGAATGCCAAATAGCAAGACACCCTAAATCTAGGCATATATGTGTGATAGTTTAATCCGTCACTGTGTAATTTAGCGTGCTATTTTTGTGACTGTCCGAAGGACGTTTCTATCATGTATAAGTAAACACGATTTGTGTGCTTGAATTCATTGTGCTTACTGGATGTAGTAGAATACACTTTCTACTCTATATCACGACTTTTCATTAGTCAACGGATCAGGGTAGCCTACCTGGACTCTGGTTCATTGTCTCGTTCTCGTTTATCAACTAAGGTGAACCCGCAATAGTTTGAAGCATATCTAGTGACGATCCTAACATAGTGCTGACAGGTTTCGAATGGTGGTGGTCTAACAATGATTCATTCATAATTTAAATATCAAATAATAATAATTATTATTATTATCATCATCATTTGTTAATATTCTTACTTCCATTTCACTTTCCTATTATTCTACTCTCAGTGTGAATATGTGAATATGCCTCAGTCGAAATTCAATAATGATCAAATTTCACCTGATACTGCTAATAATTATAAATATCAACTATCGCTAACAACTAATGTATTTCCCACTTATATGATTTCACCATCAACAATGTCTTCATTGAATGAATATTTACTGCCGATTCCCAATTCACTATCATCCATATTGAATACAACTGATATCAGTATCATAACTAATGTGAATAATAATAATAATAATGACTTATTAATGGATACATCATTTCTATCAACAGTACCAGAAGAGGATTTCGATCCAGGCGATTTACTAAGTTCCAATAAAACTACACCAAAACAAAGTCCTTGTAAAAAGATTTATTTCATGAAAACCATCAATAACAATTCATTGAAATTAAATCAAAGCGATAATAGTAATCCAGGAGACAATCATAATGTGGATCAGTACAGTTCATCTGAGTCTTTATCACCAAGTACTGTGTAAGTTGAATGTGTTTGTATGTATAGATATGATAATCATGTTATCCAATATTATAATGTTCTACACGAATTCTCATCTTATTCAATAAACTTTTAGACATTTATTAAGTACGCAGAGATAGAAGATCATTCCTCAAACGACCAGATGAAATTAACTGTTATCTATGGGCATTTTAGACAAAACTTGGTCATATCATATATATTTCCTTATTGTGTAATGTTAAGTCCATTGAAGCTTTTTTCTACACAGTCGAAATATGTTGGGGAAGTCCAAGAATTATGATACACATTCTGTACTGATTATCTGAAATTAGTACGGTAAACAAAGTGAATTCATTATGCATGTTTAAGGATATGATACTATGTTCAAAAGTTGTTAAAAATAAAACTGCTTACTGAATACAAACAAGTAGTATAAGCATTAAGCGAAAAGAATTGAATACAAACGGAGTGTAAACAGACTTGAATTTCATTATAATTAAATCTTATTTTACCAACATAAAGACTGGGGTGAGTCAATTAACAAATGTAGTGATTGTATCTAAATTTTGTAGTAAATGCAACTGTAATTGATTGTTCTGTCTGAGTTTATTAATGCCGTCTGGTCGTTAATGTACATTTAGTCGACTACCTTCGATGATGTTTGTACTTTTATCATTTTCCATTCATATAGACTAAGATTTCGATGGTTTTAATGTTTCACCTATTTTAAACATTACATTTTACAGACAATACGCTCCAAAACCGATTCCTAATCAAGAGACTGAATTATGCAGTAGTTCATCTGGTCAAATATTCTCTGATGAAAATGTTGAATTACAACCAGCATTGTCATCTTCCTCTTCTACTTCTTCTTCTTCTTCTTCTTCAAAATTATCACCTATCTCTTCTCAACAATCTCAAGAAATTCCAGATAATTATTACGCTCGACCTAATAGAAAACAAAAACGTTATCGAAATTCCAGAGCACCAGCACCGCCTATACCATCAACAATAACATTAACTGGAACAAATTCAATTTCCACTACTTCATTACCTTGTAATTCTTCAATAAATCGATCAACAGTAAAACCACCACCACCACCTCCACCTTTTAGATCAATGAAAAATCATCCTGATACACCTAATACTACTGATTCAGATATAGATGACCGAGATTATAAGAATTTAATGAAATCTCAACAAATGCATCCAGTTCACGATAAATCATCGTCAAGTCCGTAAGTATTGGTAGTTCAATGATGTAAAAACTGAAAAACTCAATCTACTTTTTCTATAATAATAAGATTGATAAAATTATACACTGAATGCTTGATTCGTTTAAGTCTATTGAACAGATTCAAATTAATTGGTAATCAATTAACATGCAACTTGATTCAAAAATCTCTATCTAGTTTATACAAGATGTTATGACTTTGAGATTATCTTTGATACAGATTGACTTAGACAAGTCAAAAGCTATATTATATTGTGCATTTGGTTCGTCTTAGTATGAGACTCATTACCAATAGTCAGTTAGTTCTGTACTAGGGAATCAAATTTGAACGAAACATGTTGGAATGTAATAGTCAACATTATCAATTTGAATCATTTCGTAAGATAGTCTATCCAAAGTTTACTTATCTTATTCTTGAAGCAATGCATAAATATGAATACCACTTGTTCTTTCAAATAAATTTATTACCTCCTGGTTGTTGAAGAAAGACTACAGCTTTGATCAGCTGTCATTGAGTTCATCATGATATAAGCTACTAATCGATTAAATATTAACTTTAAGAAATGGATGAGATTTGTAGATCACATGGATGATTTTGATATGATTACATACTGTGAATTGTTGAGCTAAACATAAAGTTAGACATTAGCACCATTGACTACCGGCTCAGTGGTCTGGCTGTCAAGCGTTCAGGAGCAAGACCGAAAGTCTTAGGTTCAAATCCTTCGATTAACATCCTGTCACACACCAGGTCTAAACCGCCATTCAGTTCGTCTAGGTTTTTATTGATGGTTTAACAATGATTCATTCATGATTTCAATGTTCAACTTTCCAATCATTTTTTGTCCGACAACTTTATTTGCATATTTTTTTTGAAAAACGTTATTCTAGAAAGGCAAAGAAAATTTTTTATGATTAAATTGACCAACTGAAAGAAATCACATTCAAAGCATGAAATTTTTTACTAATTTTTAAAGAAATTTGATTTCCTCTTAATCAAGTTACTTATTTATTTTATATATACACATACATGTATTTTAGCCGTCCAATAAAAATGGAAGAATACAATGATCCTTTGAAATTATCATCTACAGTAAATCATTTATGTCCGCATAAGGGTAGACAACAATATGAAATAATTAATAACGATAATTCTCATCATCACCATCATCATCATCAACATCATCAACATACTACTACTACACCTACCAATTCAGAACAAATTCAAACTACTCCGCCTTCTAATGTTTGTTCACATTGCCGTGAAATTAAACATCATCATGATGATTACAATGACGGTGATGACGGTGATAATCCCAACGCTGATGATAACAATAAAATAAACCAATTCGATTTTAATAAATCAATCCTACGAAAACCAACTCCACCGAAACGATCACCTAAAACTGCTTTAACTAGGTAACAGGGTGTTATTTTGATTCTATTCTAAAATGGTATTTATGTTTTATTCATTTTATGTAATATTGAATAACACTTTCACATACTGTTTTTTTAATATCGTTTTTAATGCTTTTTCGACTATCATCACTTGAATACGTTTGGGTAAAATGATACTGATTAGACTCAGCTATTGACAACATGAAAACATAGATGATGATTAGAATTAAATAAGAACAGATTCCTTAACAGAAGTAAATCTTCTCAATTAGAGTTATGGAGGTTAGTGTTTTTAAACATTTGAAATCATCAATCAATCATCGTTAGAACACCATTAGAAATCTGTAAGCACTGGACGGCCGTTTCGTCCTGGTATGGGACTCATCAGCAGTGCGCATCCACGACTCCTCCACCTTCGCAGGATTCGAACCCGGGGCCTTCGATATTGAGCGCGAACACCTAACCGTTGGACCACTGGACAGGCATCCGACTGACTGATACTAGAACTCCAAGAATTTTCTCACGAAGCTAGTCACTAGTGAGTTGAATCTATCACTTATAAACAAGAGATTTCTAGACATTATTATTATTCGGTTTAAAAGAAATGTGACAATAATTCTACAAAGGACAATTTAGTTCGCATCATAATTATCAAGTCAAGTATTTTTGATTGAAGTAGCTTTAGCTTTAATATGCCAAAATGTTGTATGATATTCCTCTTGTTTGTTTATAGACTGAACAAATTCATTGAACGATAATACGCATTTGATCATAACTCAACATAAGTGAACTACACCGAGATTTTCTGCATTTCGTCCATATAAATGTATGGATTACTTACCTATGACACAGTTTTGTGTTATTACCCATGCTCAGAGTCACTTTGAGAGTGCTCAGTAAATATTTGCCGTGTATGTAGATATGTAAAAATCATGAGTGAATTAATTCTATGCCCTGAAGTCGCATTGTTTGAAACCAAAAGATTGATTGAACAATCTGAGCTACTGAATTAATACTAGTAGCATAATTAGGTAAACGAAAATAGAATATTAGGATAAAATGGTGGTAAATTGCTACATTACGGATCAATTTAATGGAACTCACCACTCTACATCAACTTCATCGACTACGAGAAAGCATTCGATAGCGTGGATAGGAAAACACAATGGAGGCTTCTTCGACACTACGGTGTGCCTGAGAAAATAGTTAAAATCATACGGAATTCTTATGATGGATTCAACTGCAAAATCGTATACGAAGGACAGCTAACAGACTCTTTCGAGGTGAAGACCGGTGTGAGGCAAGGTTGCTTACTCTCACCCTTTCTCTTAGTTCTGGTGATCGACTGGATTATGAAGACATTTTCTACAGGTGAAAAATATCTGGAACTCCAAACAACTTTCAACCAAAACCAAAATCAGGATTTTGAATACAAATGTCAAGACAGTTCTACTGTATGGAGCGGAAACATGGAGAACTACCAAAGCCATCATTCAGAAGATACAAGTGTTTATTAACACTTGTCTACGCAAAATACTTCGTATTCGTTGGCCAGACACCATCAGCAACAACCTACTGCGGGAGAGAACAAACCAGATTCCAGTGGAGGAGGAAATCAGGAAGAAGCGATGGAAGTGGACAGGACATACACTACGAAAAGCACCTAACTGCATCACCAGACAAGCCATTTCTTGGAACCCTCAAGGCAAAAGGAAAAGAGGAAGGCCAAGGAACACATTACGCTGAGAAATAGAGAAAGATATGAGAAGAATGGACCAAAATTGGACAGAACTGGAAAGGGAAGCCCAGGACAGAGTTGGTTGCAGAAAACTGGTGGGCGGCCTTTGCTCCATTGGGAGTAACAGGCGTAAGTAAGTAAGCAAGTAAGTAAGTAAGTAAGTAAATTGGTCCAAAAGTGATTTGATATTTAATGCATTTGCTTTCGATTATTTTGTATCATACCATTGTATAATTAGCAGTGTTATCATGCATATTATATTGCCTAATTTATTTTATCTCATTTTAAAGTCTGAATTCATCTCCTAAATCAGAAGAACGTGAAGATTCCAAAATGAAAATGAATTTTGTTAAATGTTCCAATGAATTAGATAGTGTAGTGCATTCTAGAAGCAATGAAAGTGGAGTAATCTCTGGACATAAGAATAAAGATAATGATGATGATAGTGACCATGAAAATTCAAAAGAACAAATACATACTACTATTGATACTACTACTACTAGGAAAGGTAGTCATAGTAGTCATGAAAGTAGTGAATACAATGAACAAAACAAATATACTATATGTGATAACATTATCAATCATAAAAACCAAACCAATTTAATTATACCAGAGAATATTCATCAAAACAATAAAGATATTACTTGTTGTCTATGCAATTCATCACATCAAGTCGATGCAGAAGCTGAAATTTTACATATGACTGAATTACTGTCGAAACGTCGAGAATCTGAAGTTAGACGACATTTATTATTAGCTGAAATGGAAGGCGGAATTGAACGAGATGATCGATTGAGAGCTGCTGCCAATGCTATGGTATTAGCAGTAGCACCAGTGAAAACTGATATGTCAACCAGTATCGATTCGTCAGAATTATGTAATATATCAAATTGTATACACTGTACTTATTGTTCACTTCCTCAACATCATCAGCAACCACATCATCATCAGCAACAACAACAGTCATTTCATCTGGATAGTGCACTACATCCACCACATCTACATTCTATCGATCATAGAGCTACAGATACTGGATTAATACCACCGATAACGTGTTGTTGTACAGCGGAATGTATCAAAGAAGAAGATATATTGATTACATTGCAGAAATGTAAGTCAAATATGGTATTTTTCAGTTGCGCTTTTGTTGTTGTTGTTGTAAATGGTGATATTCATGTTAAAATTTCACTATTCAAATTTGTTTTTGTTGACATTTGTTATAGTTGACTGAGTTTTATTAGAAGTATATAGATTTTTATCTCAGATCACGGAATGTGACTGTTGTTATTTTCTATCAAATAAACTTGTTGAATCCAAACTGATTTTATTGATCAGAGATCAGGGAGTATAGTTTTGCTCTATGCTTGTGAGACCTTACTCTTCTTAGCTGAGGATATCCGGTAACTTTCTGTGTTTCTTGGTCTTCATCTTAGAAGGATTACCGACAATCATTGCCAAATATATGTTAGTATTGCAGACGTTCGGCAAATTTTTTGACCTCAATAATTATATTTCAATTTGTGTTACCATATTAAAATACAGGTATCTAAACGTTCCGACACGTGTTACAGGTTTCATCCCAATCGCTTTCGAATTCTATATTAGTTGATCAGATATGAAATAGTGTCATGGTAACAAAGAAAGCTGTATCGAACTAGAATCCTTTTATTCATCACGATTGCGTAGTTAAGATACTAAAGATGGATTTATCCTAACATCTGGGAATAACTGACCTACGATGACATGCTAATAGATGCGTAGTAGAAAAATACAAGCGGTAAAGAGCTTTCAATTCATCCTTCAAAACTAATACTCGAATAAAATTCTTGAAATAGCGCAAGTATCCTTTTGTTATTAGTTTTGTAGTGAAGGAGAACACAGGTGAGGGCAGCCGAATTGTATTTATCGCAAATTACAGAGTTAATTGGTCAAATAGGAAAACCATATCTTAAACCGTTAATTTGCAAAACATCAATCCATTGTCTGACATTTCACTATTCATGCGTTTCATACAAATTCAATTGTGTTCCAACTCTTCCTTTCTTGATCTTCCCCCATCTTCTGCTGCCAGACATTACGTTTTCAATCGCGTCATATACTACTTATAAGTAGCGCGCACCACAGTTTTAGTTAAGTAGTTACATTTAAGTCTTTTTGATCTGATCGTAAATTAGCTTAAGATAAACAACTGTCGGAAACCAGAAGGCTCCGTGAACTTGTTTTGGCCCTAACGTCTGCTACTGTGCAACACAGTGAATCGGATCCAAGGTGTTCAGGGCTAGTAGAGGACGCTTATCGCCCGTCAACTGAGTTGATGCAATTCCAGCTTCAGTCGACTCATGATGATAAGCGAGCACCGTTCATTGTCCTAAGTGATATTTCTCTCAGATTCACCAACTATGACTTTCAACTAGAAACTCAGTTAGTAGTTACATCTTGAAAATGAATCACTAACATACATTATAATCACCAATAGCTCAATGATTTTCATTAACCATTACGCATTTTCATAATTCTCTACTTGATTATCAATATAGAAACCAGAGAAAAATTCACTCATCTTTTACTTCTTTTTGTTCTTTTCTTATTGATTAGCTTCAACTGGTTTAGGATTTAGTTTAACTACAAAAATTATTTCCAAACCACCATTAACTCATTCACTGAAATCAATGAAAACAATCCAACCGAATGAATCAATACTGGCTGTATGTGTGAAAAATATTTTACCCGATGGTTCAGCTATTAAAAATGGACAATTACGTGTTGGTGATCAATTGATCCAAGTAAAATGAATTTTTATTTAATTAATAAAATTTTTTCCGATATTTAAATGAAAAAGAAATTTTATAATGAATACTTGAAATGACTGTCAGAATAAACAGGGTGACTGTAACTAGCTCACAGTTAGACTCATAAATATTATCGGGGCAGAGTTTCAGAGGTTTGCGTTTTTACACATTTGAAATCATCAATCAATTATTGTTAGACCAACATTAGAAACCTGAAAGCACTGGACGGCCGTTTCGTGACCAATGGAGTTCAACACTGTCGGGTGTAGGTAGTAACTACCAAAGACAAATGGGTGAGGTAGCGTAAAATCCGTAGATCAATCAGAGTTAAACATTTACACCGTCGGATGCCGGCCCAGTGGTCCGACGGTTAGGCGTTCGCGCACAGTAACGAAATTCTCAGGTTCGAATGCTGCGAGGTGCAGGTGTCGTGGATGCGCACTGCTGATGAGTTGTCCCATACCAGGACGAAACGGCCGTCCAGTGCTTCCATGATCTAATGGTGATCTAACGTTGATCGATTCATGGTTTCAAAAGAATTAGTTCAACTAATTTAATAACCTGATTACTCTTCTCTATTTATAATTCTCTCTTTATTACAACCCAGCTAAGTTGGGTGCGATAGAGCCAATGAGCGTGCAACAACGCAGTCATGCTTTAATCCATTCTTCTTCCCACTAATAGTATCAATAAATCAGCTAGTCTAAATTAAACATTTACACAGTCTACTATTTGATCAATAATAAGTTATAGCCTGAATAAGATTTCTGACTATGAAGCTGGGAGACAGCACTGGTGCCCATAATGTTAAAGGCACACGTTGTCCATAATTGTCGACTATCATACAACTGAGATGCAAAGTTTCCTCTTGGCTACCACCCACCATCCTCCTACTTGAAATTAAAACTTTTCTGTTGTTAAGATCGAATTCGATGCTTTTTTCGTAGTTGCTCTCAACTTAGGTATCATAGACTGATAATGAGGGGAAAAATTATATATATATATATATATATATATATATATATATATATATATATATATCATCTTATTTAATTTCTGTTTAATATAACTTCACATTCTGTAAAAAGAATGCTTTTAGTGATGCTGAGTTCTCAGACTAAATTGTGCAACTTTCACTTTTATTGTAGATGCCATTGTTAGGGTGTATTTTTTTCTATTGAAGTCAACCTTCTAGTTACTTTACAAGTGTTATTTTTAATCCGTTCTGATAAAATAGTTTGTGAATGACTGTCTTCTTATGATTTATTTGTCCTCTTCAATCCTTGTAATATAAACTGACTTTAATTGTCCGACGATCTCTTATCCTGCGATTAATCGACATCTTCTGAATGCGTTTCTTGACTGGGTTAACGTAGGTGCATCTGTTGATTGACAGATGATTAGAATTCCATATCTCGTATGAAAGTTTTCTCGGTATTCTTAAATTTGACAATTTTTTTTGGTCGAATTCATATCTATGGTTGTCGAAATGTATCACTATCATGTCACTTCACTACTGAATTATATTCATTTGTGTTTAGATCAAAAAAGCATCCATTACGATCTGTTGTCATGTTTCTCTTAGTGAGTGTGATTGCTTCTACTGGATGATTCTTCATTTTCATCCGCCTGCTTTGATGTCTTATGACTTGTACGTCAATATATATAATGAAATGAAATGACAGAGTTGATTTGTGGATGACATTCACTTCAAAAGGCTTTAAGATCTATTTCTCATGTATATATATATTTGCGAGAACTGTTTCTTCGCTCATATAGTTCGTTTTTTGACGACATACTGATTCACTGGTTACCGTATTGTTTTCTTATGGAGGATAAATTGAAAATGAATGTCTTCTTTTTAAACAAAAACAAAAAATTATCGACAAAACATAACTTTTTGGGGTATACATTTTTTTTTATTTTCAGATTGATGATTTAGATGTTATTGGTAAATCACAAGCACAAATTGTTGCTATTCTTCGAATTAAACCAATTGGTAGTATTGTAAATTTATTAGTACGTCGACAATTGCATATATGTCAGTTGCATACACAAGATTGTTTATTGTGTAATCATCATCATCATCATAATCATCCAACAACCACAAATCAATGTCCTGATTTATTAAATACTGAAATGAATCAATTAACAAGAAATGTTAATGGTTCAATGCATGAAAAACAATTACAGTCAACTTATCCATGGATTGATGATAATAATAATAATAATAATAATAATAATAATACACGTAAATGTTCATCACCACCATTACAAATGTCGATTTATTATGATGGATTAAATAATTTCGAACGTGTTTGTCATTCAAATTATCCAGTGAGTATTGAAGTTGATTTCTTTTGATGTAAAAATCTCTTTGTTATGAAATTTTTGCTGGCATGCTGCTACGCCTGCACGTAAACACGTCAACTTGATATGGCTGAACTATTACGAGTTTACCCCTTAGTCGGATAAACGAGAGCGAGGATCGAGGATCCGGCGACACGACATACTACTCAAGTCCGATTATTCCAACCCCCATATTGAGTAAAAATAAGAAGACTTGATATGAAATAGAACCTGTATTCTACAAGCATTCAGAAAGTACGAGGTAAGAGTCCAGAAGAGAATCAGGATCTTGGACTAGGGAACCGGGACCGGGACCGGGTCCTGATCCTGGTCATAAAACGTTACAGATAATGCGTATTTATACATTTTAGTTGAATGAGAAACAACATCGATGTCTGTGACATTGACAGTTAAGACGACCAATAGGAAGTAACATTTGAAGAGACATTGATAGTCAGGACAACCAATAAGAAACAACATTGGAGCACGTGACACTGATATCTAGAACGACCATAAAATTGACCAGTAGGAATTATCCAATAGGAATTGACCAATAATTCTCTTAGGATATTCGATGAATATCCTTACACATGCTTAATATGTACTATAGTAAAAGAAACAATTCAATGTTCTGGCCATAAACTAGTTACTTACTAACCTACACCTGTAACTCCCCGATTGTGCATAGACTGCTGACCGGCACATACTATCCTACTCTCTCCTGGGTCTTCTTTTCCAGTTGTATCAAACTGCTGTTTAATCTTTCCATGTCTATCTCCAGCTTTCAGAGTAATGTGCCATTTGGTCTTCCTCTTCTCCCTTGGCTTTGAGAAGAACGTGTTTGGATGCTTCCTGCATCTTGTCCTATCCACCTCCAGTGCTTCTTTCTGATTTCTTCCTTCGCTGGGCTCTGGTTTATTTCCTCTCAGTAAGTTGTAGTACATGGTGTCTGGCCAATGGATCCTCAGTATCGTGAGTAGACTACTGTTAATATACAATTCTATCTTGAATATCATGGCTTTCTTGGTTCTCCGAGTTTCCGCTCCATACAATTCAACTCTAATGATGTTTGAATAGAAGGTTGTGATTTCGGTGTTGGTCGACAGTTGTTTTGATTTCCAGATGTTCTTTAATTGTAGAAATGATACCCATACCTTGATAACCCGTATCTTTACATCTGCACCAATTATCAATGATACTGTCCAAGTGTGTAAGGGTTTGTATATCTTCCAGAGCATCTTCATCAAATGTGATTTGGTTGGTCCATGGTATGTTGCATTGGAGGTTTTCGCTTTTTCCTTGTGTATATTGATTCCTAAAGCTGCAGATGCTGCTGATACGTTAGTCATCTTACACTTCAATTTTTGTTGTGTATGCGACAAAAGAACTAGATCATATGTGAAGTCCTGATCGTCCAGCTGCATCCAAGCAGTTCACCATGTCCCGCGCTTCTATCCAGATACTGACATTCTCATAATCCAGTCTATCACCAGGAGAATGGGTGAGAATAAGTAACCTTGCCTGACATCTGTCGTTCAATGAATATTATTTAGTATAAATCTTCTTTTATCAATTTATATGATAAACTTAGGCTGGTTAAACAGTAAAAAAGGATTCAAGACCATTGATTTTGTAGACTTTGTACACAGTTAGGATATGACCTCCCAACCAATCAGTTATTTGCTTATATTTTTTTAAACAACAATCTATTTAAAATATTCTAGATTCGAGTTCCTATGTGGTCGTGCATGATCATTTCACAATGAAAGAATTCTTTTTGAAATTTACGAAGTGGTAAACGCCATAAGAAAATACTGTGTTTTAAACCAATAATTAATACTGAACTTAACCAGACTAACACTGAAAACAAGGAAGCACTGGAGAACTGTTTCGTCCTGAAACGAGGTTCCTCAGCAGTGAGCGTCCGTGGCTCCATAACTGAGAATCGGACTCGCGACTTTCTTATTGAAGTGACAACATCTACCGCCAAGCTAACACCTAATGGCGCACATGTTTCACCTTGATTAACTGATAATATTGCACGACCATCTCCAATGACCTACGCTAGATAACTGTCACGCATTGAACATGTTTAAACCTCATTGTTCATGGTTCTTTACTTTTTTTTTTTTGTCGAGTTTCGTTCTCTGGGCTGGATGTTTTGGTTGTAGAACTTTCACTTTTCTTCGGAACAATGCACTGAACATCATCAGCCTTAACTTATACCTAAATTTTATGTTGATGATGTTGTTCAGAAGAACAATATAAGCTCCACAACTAAAATATCCAGCTCACAGAACGAAACTCCACCACAATCATCCACACGAGATAAAAATATTTCCCACCATCTCAAAATATATTTTTCTGAATGGAAAAGGGATATCATATTCCTATTATAAGATTGGAAATTTCATTTTTCCCGAATACATGATTATGTATAAAGAAATAATATTCATATTATTCTTTTTGGTAACATTTTTAAGAAATGCATACTGGTTATAGCCTCAGTCAATACACGTCAATACATAGATCAATTCAGTAAGTGAGAATTCTAGTTAGATATTCTTAACTGATTTAAAAGATACATTTTTTGAAAATACTAGTTTCTGTATAATCTTTTTCAGAAATTACTAGAAAATCACCTTCCTCTGAATTAACAGTTAACTACGTAGCCTACTCATTAGTAGTTACATTAGCATTCGTCTAAATATTATCACTAATCAATTACAATTTCTTTAATCTTCTTTATCTTTCAGCTTTATCCAGATGTATTACTTCTACGTTTACATATCCCACTGATTCCTATCAATGAAGGGAATGAAGAAAATTTAAAAAATCCTACTTCTACTACTAATAATAATAATACAAACACGCTAACTACATCAAGTCTACGTCAGATGCGTCTTGGTGTTAGTGTACGTGAATCGAATTCATCGCGAGCCAGTAAATTAAATGAATTCACACAAAATACCATTAAAGCTAATAAAAATATAAAATTATTTAATGAAGAGAAAATCAATCAAATTTCTTCTTTCACTGATTCATATATTGCTGATTCGATATATGGTGGTGTTATTGTGAAATGTATTATAGAGGGCGGGGCAGCGCATAAAGTAAGTGGTGGTTTTCTCTTTTTTTTTGTTTTACGAATAAATTCTACTACTGATTAAACAGTAAACATATACATACACAGATAGTTACAAGTTAGTCGGTCAGTCAGTCAGTCAGTCACTTACAACGTAGAGCTTCGTACGTAAGTACATAAGTTCAGGTTGCCATTATCGCATTAGCACAGAGATGCAACTGTTTCCCTCGGACAACAGACATCTGCAATGATGCTCTATTCTCACAAGGAAGGAGCGGGTCAGAAAAGGTCTACCCTAAAAATGTTACACTTAACCTTGCCTCACGGATTTCCGTCTCCGGCTGTAAGGCCTTTTAAACAAGAGCACAACTGACACCTTAAAAGCTTCTCATAAAAAGGCTGAATGTGACCGACCTCAAGCAGTTGTTTCTTGGGATCTGCGGACACGCTCCCGGGTCGCAGTGAACAACAGTAACCCGGTTTTCTCTTCAGGTTCCTCAAGAAATACCATTCCAAGGTATGGGCAGCAGGGAACTGACATCCGCTCTCATACCCGTAAAAACACGCGAGACCAAATTGGTCACAATTAAATCCTTCCTTATAATTGCAAGTACGAAAACCTGAAAGATATCTGTTAGTTCTGAGACTGTTATGGTCAGGGATCTTATCTAATTGGGAATTTATTCTTCTATGTTTTCAAGGAAGTAGGTGCAATCATGCATTGGCGTCAAGATTTCCACTCGTCAATAATTAAATGTCAAAACATTGCTAACCAGCTAACGAAAGATCAGCGTGAAGTTTAGAAATGTCATGATATTCACGTAAATTTACGCCTCTAATAGAAAAATAATGATTATTAATTAATGTAAACGTCCTGACTGGGGTCATCTTAGGTCATTCTAAATGAAAAAAGTCGGTCGATATAGCGTGTTTAATTTGTCGCTGTATCAGGAAATCCGGATTCCAGCGATTAGTTTACGGTTCACTGAACATTTTATAGTAGTTAGCAAAGGCTAATAGCTTATTTGAATACTTGATATTTAAGCGGATAAATAATATATTAAATTCATTTATAATAATGAAGCATTAGAAGACCGTCTCGTCTTTATACGGGACTCATCAGCAGTACTCATCCATGACTTCTGCTACTCTCAGGATTCGAACCCAGGACCTTCCAAGTTTCTAATTGTGGTCTAACAATAATTCATTTATGATTTCAGTCTGCAAGAAAGATATCCATAATTATACAATGCGAAAATTCATCTGCATTGGTTACTTGAATCTTCTCGTTGATGGTTAGGGCTACAATCGATCAGTCTCTTTGGTATATTTGAACCATAGGCGAACGGCTTCTATCCTATACTACTAATCTTCTATTTTCCACTTGTAATTACCATTAAGTAATGGCCTCTGCCCCCTTTATTTTACTTTCCCACTTCCTAAGTAATTGGTACTAATGTCTCTGTCTGTGAAACCATGCCATATGGGATTGAATACTTCGGGGAGCTAACGAGAGTCAAACAGCATGAAACCTAAGTCCAGAGTTTTCTATCAACCACCACCTCCCACCACTTCACGTTTAAACATAGTTAACGCCATGTCGTATCACATAGACTAATGGTCATATTGTGACTTGACTGGTAAGATTTCATCAGCATTTTAGAAGGATCTGACATAAATCGTACATAATATAGCATTCGTAAAAAATCATACTGTTGACTTACACATTTTGTAATAGTATGATTATTATTATGATTACTTTTGATTGTCTTTGGTGTAAATATACAATAATCTACTGAATTATCTGTACTAATAAGTTATTTGTTTAATTTTTACAAATCAAAATTCCAACACAGGATGGTCGACTACAAATAGGCGATGAACTATTAGAAATTAATGGAGTTGTTCTAGTCAATGTAAACAATCCATTAAATTTGTTACGTTCTGTTCTACGTAAATTATCCGATACAAATGTCAATGAAAGAAAAAACTCTACTGATCCTAACACATCCACAGTGATTACTGCAAATACAACAACAGATGTGACAACAGCAACAACAACAACAGCATCTGCTTCGACCACCGCGACGACGGCTACTACTAATATCACTACTACGACTACTACAACTCATACTAATTCTACAAGTTCTTCACCTATCAAAACAAATCATCATCAAATCAATACTTCCCAGTGTACATTGGATAATAAAGATTCAATGGAAACGTTAAACAGGGTACAACCAAAAATGGTCGATTTATTGATAGCTCGATTAACAAGGCATCGAAGATCTGCATCTGGACATACTGTAAATATTTATAATTTTACGTTATTTTTTATGAAAAACCTTTTTTATAGATACGACAAAATATTAGAAAATAATTTGGTAATTAAATAATAATCTGAGATTAACACAACTATAATATATATTAAATGTTGAAAATCATGAACTGATCAATGTTAGACCACCATTATTTACCTGGAAACAATGGATGGCCGTTTCCTCTTCGTACAGGACTTATCAACTCTGCGCATCCATGACCCTGTGAGTGTTAATCGAACGTAGGAGTTGATTGATTGAAGTTAGACATTAACACCGTCGGATTACGGCTCGATGCTGTTTGTATGGTCATGAATGTACACTGCTGTTGAGAGTCGTACTACGAAGAAATGACCGTTCAGTGCTTTTAGGTTTCCAATGGTATTTTATAATTGATCAGTTCGTGATTTCAATAAAACTTTTATTTCTACAGTATAAGCATTCTTGACTAGCTTCTAACGTTGTTTACTCGACTTTCATACATACACAAACTAGATGGAGTCTAGCAAGCACCATCTGGCTAAACATTATCCAAGTAAATAGAGTGAAATCTGAACCTGAAAACATTGAAATCTGAATGCTTTAACTACTGATCTACTTTGAAATACATATTTATTCTTAGTATCGTTTAAATAATAAAAGTCAAATAAACAAGTTCTGTATCATCGTGTTTTATCAAGTCTCCAATCAATGTCTCTCATTATCAGTCTGGTTGATGGTAAGATCTACAATCTTTGGCAAACGTAACGTTTTGCGGAAATTGTAACGTTACGCTTAAAATTTCATCATTGAACAATCAGAGTTTAGTTAACTCAAATACATAGGTGGTCAGTTACAATCCAAATAATTCAGTGGTAATGTACACAACAGTAACATCACGATAGGCGAACCAAATTATTGTGTCAAGGCAGTTGTTATGATCAGGATAGACTTATGAATTTGTCACTTCACCGTAGTTTGTGTCAGTCACTAGATAAGTAGTTTTTTTTTCAAGCATTTGACAAGTTTCTTTCTGAAAAAAACAGAAAAACATCTACTAATTACATTCTTCACTTAACTGTAATAAAAAAGTCACAGCTTTCGAATTTCAGTTTCATTTCTTATATAAACAAAAGTAGGTTAAGTGGCCTAGAATCTGACTTGGATTCGGACTAAAGATTGAATATTCTATGAATTAAATCTTTCATTTAATTTCCGTTTTTCATTCTAATATGAACTCTGTTTGTACGACGGCAGTAACTAAAAGTTAAATATTGTATTATGTGCATGAATTTATTTCATATATTCAGGTAAAAAGGCAGACAATAAAGGGAAGCATAAAAGCCAAATGAAGTGAACCGTAGACGGATGGACTAACTCAATGCAATTAAACATGACTAAGTATTTATAGGTAGAATAAACTATGCTAAACGTAAGCAATGCACCCATATACACTGAAGTGAAAACAACCAAGTTTATAAGCAAATAACTGACAAGGTCATAAGATGTGTCGGTAGTTAGTCGTATATATAGATTGATTAGTTTGTCCAATAGCTGAGACAAGCCATTTGAGCTTGACGTATTGGTACACATTATACAACGATTAATTTTTGTATCGTCATGAATTTCATTTAATTTTAATTGAAGATATATCAGATTAGGTTCACATATGTGATCTTTACTCTACATATACGATGCAAGAACTTAAAGAAAGCTAAGGTCAGTTTGTGATTTTAGAACTACCGAAAATAATTCCATCTCCGCAAATTCCCTCTTCATTAATGAAAAAATATTCAGTGAGTAATTACGTTGCATAACAATCACCGTATAATTTCACGATGATTATAAACTAATATCACGTAATTAGGAGGAATGAAGTGACTTCATACTTTAAGTGATTATTCTGAAAATTTAAAATACCCAGTGACTATATTACATGATATTCCCGATTAATCAATAAAATGTTTTGATAAATATGTTGGTATTTTTAGTAACAATCTGATAATCAAAATGTGGTGTGAGCTACTTATAAGTAGTATATGACGTGAGTGTCAACGTAATGTCTGGCAGCATAATATGGGAGAAGATCAAGAAAGGAAGAGTTAGAACACAATGGAATTTGTGTGAAACGCATGAATAGTGACAATGGATTGATGTCTTGCAACAAGAACAGTCCAGTTTGATATGATGAACTGATATTTTGTAAATTAACGATTCACGATATGGTTTTCCAATTTTACTGAGTTACTCTGTAATTTTCGTTAAATACAATCCGGTTGCCCCACCTGTGTTCTGGTTCACTACAAAAAGACACATGTTAAGGATATATAGAAATATAATAAAAGAAGGAATAAGAATGGGTCTAGTCTCAACATGTTGAGAGAGTGGTTACAAAAACACAAGGTAAGTTTATGATGTAAACTAACGGGAAAAAGAAAATTCATTTTTACCTATCTGATTTTATTATTTGTTTCTCTATCAATTATAGCTTGCATCAAATTCTGAATTTGGTTCCGATGCTTCAACAACAAGCACTGTACTTACAGCTACACCGAACTTTTTACCTCCGGTCAATAATAAAACTAGTCCTGAATCATCCGGTCCTAGTCGTGAACAATCAATTCCTCGACATCACCATCATCAACATCAACATCAACACCAACATCATCGTCATCACCGCCATCACCATCATCATCATCGCCATCAACATCGTCATCTTTCTCAACCTCAACAAAAATCCACCTGTACAAATCAGTCAACAATTTTGTCCTCGTCATTATCATCGTCATCTTCATCGACTACAACAATTCCGATTGAAAATGAATCGCATGTGAATGACATACAGACTATGAATGATGACATTCGTGAAAATGATGATCAATCTAGAATTAAAGGTGAATTACACTCAGTCAAAGTGGAACAACACGAAGAAGATCATACTACTGATGATGTAATTATTGTTACTAATAATATAACAACAGCAACCACAACACCAGCAACAACAACACCAACAACTACCACTATTACTGAGGGTGATTGTGCCTCGAAAAAATGAATCATTCATATGAGTTCATAATTATGTTAAGGTAAGTAATTTTGTATAAATCAAATTATACCTGAAATTCTCCCTCATAAGTATGACTGCGAGTGTTCATGATAACCTTTGATTGTTTTCTGACTTTCTTGTTGTGAGCATACCCTCATTCATCAATCACCTATTAGATAGCAGTTGTAGGCGCTGCGTATTGCTCCAACACAGCACTAGGAAGACAGCGGCACCCTTAATCTATGTGAAATATATACACATATATAAATAACAGTAATCTGTTTTACAACTAAACACAAAATTCTTTTCAAAGTGAACATTAAAACTTTAATCATTCATATTGTAATATATAATTTACTAAAACCGATTTAGAGAAGTTTATAGTGTGAAGCTGTGATGTACATCTAATGTTACTGAAAAAGTCATTGAAAATAGAGAAACAACCACACAGAGAAACCAGGACTTTTTGGTCTTGCATATGAATGGCTCAGTACTCCATCCAGTAGGGTACAAACCTAACTTCAATCAACAGACGAGATCATATGACCTTCTACTATTGTCTTCAGTAGGCAACTATCTTGCACTTGACAGTTTAGATCTGTTGATAAGAATCTTGACAATTATCACGAATATACCCATAGATTTTTCGAAAATAAATATAAAAATCGCATTGGTAATGACTGTTTATAAGGTCACAGTAAAGAAATCTCATTGGAAAATGTATGCAACATTACGACCGATTTCTAGTATTTTGACTTTTCAACAAGAGTTCCTTTCTATATATTGTGATTTTCATTGGTTAGTTTTCTGAAAAAGACATTTTTTTCTAACTAAATACAGATTCAATGAATGGGTTTTATGGAGAACACTTTAACTACTGTCGAAAATAGATAAAAGATGGAACTTTCGGTGTATGTAAATGAAGTTTTAAGTGTCTGAAATCATGAACTATTTTATTAAACTATCAGAAAAGCCCATGTATTACATTATGCAGTTTGCTTTGCATTACCATATGGAGAGGAAAATGATTTTTTAAAGTGCATATACAAAAACTGAAAACTTTTGATTGAAAATTGTCTATAAGGCATTGCTTGAAAATCGTGATGAAATTCGGTATTGTGAATATTTACTGAATAACATGATGAGGAATATAGTACACATGCTTAACCAGTACATAACATAACTCATGATATTAGCCAGTGTAGAATTAAGTTCACTGAGAGATAGCAAATCATAGCAAATAGTGACATCAGCCCATAAAGACAGTTACTATTGATCTGAATTAGGATAGCTGACAATTATCAAATATGAAGACGTTTGTTTGCCAATAAGTTTGATAGCTAATATTAGGCGTACATTTCTGGATGTTGATTGTTTTGCACTGATTATCACACAGTGCATAATGTAACAATTGACAGACATTAGGAAAAAAGATAATTATCAGTAGTATAATTATGTGAACACAAAACTATTTCTTTGTATAGTCTATTTTCTCTCCTATTTCCATATATTTCCTCGTTTTCATTGTTTATTTTTTCAGATTTAAGATACATCCGAACATCAATCAATCAAAGTGTACTACTACTACTAGTAATCCTTAATATTATTGCTGACAATCAATTAATCAACCAAACAATTATTGAAAACTACCTCATTCTCATTACCAATTAGAAGAATACAATGATTATTATTATTATTATTATCATTATTTTTATTTTTATTGCTATCTCAATTACACTATCATAATTTATCAATTCTTCATTTACAATACATTAATTAAACTGCTCAAATTTTCATTTTCAAACCCTTGACAATGTGTGTACATAGAATTTCACATTCCCTTCTTCTACCTACCAGCCAGCATCCATTTCACCTTTTTAACTTTTCATCAATTCGTTTTCAATTCTATTTATTCGTAATAATAAAACCATATTCATAGCAAGACACTGACTAGTCTATTTTCTTTTTCTCTAGTCATTTTTTGTTAATTTAGTGAAAGAAAGAAACAAGTATTTGTTTGTAGTTAGTTGAACAAAAGTTTTCAATCTTTTTATCGATTTATTTAATTATTTAAACGTAGTAGTTAGTGGCATTTACTAAATTTCATCATGTTCCTTTTTCTTTTCAAAAAAAAATTTTTTTCATCATCATGTAATAAAAACTGAATTCATGAAAGTACTATTTTTCGACTGTTGAATATTATCTGAAATTACATCTCGTCAATTACTTGATGATATTTGTAAATTCTGCAAAAAAATCGACCATATCTACTTGTATGATGATAATTTTAAGCATGTATCTTTTGTTGAGGGTTCTTTCATAGTTCATCGATCCATATCTGTACATTTTGCATTCTGCTTGTTCTGTTTATCACTCACCGGGTTCCTACTTTTACATACATCACTTGTCAGGACCTGATGATTACCATTATTATCTATTTTTTTGAAATATCATCCATTCATGTGGATAATATGTCGGGCTTACATAAGAGAGCAAGTTAGTGATGTGATTGCATTGTATTTCTCTTATATTAAAGTCTTGTTTTTTAGATCGGTCATAATGCTGTTTATCTACCTATACTACTTACATTTTTTTAAGTAGTCCACAAAAAATATCATTATTTTTTAAGACAAAAATTCAGAAAACATAAATAGTATCACTTAATTCATGTACAAAAACAGTTGTAGATAGTTTATATTCATCATCTGACCTACATACATATATTCTCTACTCGTGAATTGATTATTATTTTTTTGTTAGTTGATCAGTTCTAGTAGTTTCATTGACAAATGAAAACCAAATCCTATTCTGTCTGTCTCCGATTTTTTTTTACTCTGTTACATTAAAAATAAATAAATATACATATTTAAATGTTTTTGTATGAAAATGCATGAATCACTTTTTTTATTTTAAAAAATTTCATTCATTCATCAACTGTGGAGTTGAATATTTCTGTTGAATCAATCAAAAAATAATCATTTAAAATATTCTCTTTAACTTCTAATTTGTTTTTACACGAATTTACATCATTCGACTAAGAATTCAAGTACAATTATGAATTGTTTTCTTCGCTCCATGTAAATTTTCCAAAAATTTAACTAAACGAATAACAACAGTAAAATCCAAAGAGTTAGTTGGTTGTGGAAAAAAGGCTGAACTAAACAACAAATCAAATTGAAGTTCAATTTGTATAAAACAAATACACTTAAAAAAGTCTATATATATAAATATATATACATGTCATCTCGTTAGAATTTCTTACACTTCTTCTACTCTCATCTCATTGAATCAATCTTTATCTAATTTCTTCACTATTATTATGATTATTATTATTATTATTTTATAATGCCTTACCAATCAACAAAAAACAACACAACATGATTTTACATTCAAATCGGACTTGATAAATCAACTTGAAAATTTAGTCAAATTTTTTTTGTTGTACACTAAACTACATAAATTTGTAACATTTCCTTTTTATTACATAGATAAAAATCTCTTTTTTTTCTGTGTTTTTAGTTTTACAAAAAATTATACTATCAGTAAAATAATTCACACCAAAAAAGAATATTAAAAATATGAAATATAAAATTTCATTTGTGTCTTTTATCTTTTTTTCAAAATCTTCTTTGATGATCTTCTTATTTGCTGGCATTTTCTCTTTATTAGTTATTCTTATTAACGTTTATTATTATTATTGTGATTATGATGATGATTTTATTCTCCCAATTGTATGTGTACACATTGTTCAGTTCTCTATATATATATTCTTCTAAATTATGATCATGATTATGATTAATCATATATGCGGCAATCAAGAAAAAAAACATGTCAAGATGATTTTTAAAAGAAAAACAACAAAATCAGATTATATTATTATTATTATAAAAAATAATTAAATAAATATACACATTATTGATTCATAAAAATGGTTTGTTTTACTTGCTTTGTTACCTAATTACCGTTGTTACCCGTAGCGGAGCATAGACCATTGACCAACGTTCTCTTTCTAACCAACTCTCTGTTAGGTCTTCCTTTCTAGTTCTACTCAAGTGGCATCGTTTCTTGCTGACTTACTTACTTAACGCACGTTACCTCTGATGGAGCACAGGATACTGATCAGTGAATTATTATTCTGGTTAGGGTATTTCTTTTAAACGGGTTGGATTTCAACGAGATACAGTCGGTCGTTAACCTCATGCCCAACCCTACTCCTTTGGCCTGGCCTCTAGAATTAGCAACAACCTTACAATAGCTCTTTTACAATTTCACATCATGATAAATCTTTCAACAATTAACATATTGAAGAGACAGAAGAGAGAAAATTTTGATGTCTCCAGAAGAGAAATGGAATGTTTCATGGTTTGAGTACATAGCGATGTATACGATATATCAATTTCATAAGGTAGTTCTGTTTTTCGTTTACTTTTTCGTTGTTGGTATTTTACTAAGAGGATTTTACGGTGTAAAAAAAACATTTGGCTCCAAAAAACAAAACTTTTTTGTTAGGATATTCATGCAATATCCTAAGACAATTATTAGTCGATTCCTATTGGTTAATTCCTACTGGTCAATTTTATGGTCGTCCGAGATATCAATGTCAAGTGCTCCGATGTTGTTTATTATTTGTTGTCCTGACTATCAACGTCACTTCAAATGTTGGTTCCTATTGGTCGTCCTAACTGTCAATGTCACAGACTTCGATGCTGTTTCCTATTCTACCAAAATGTATAAATACGCATTATCTGTAACGTTTTATGACCAGGACCCGGATCCCTAGTCCGGGATCCTGATTCTCTTCTGGATTCGGACCTCGTACTTTGTGAATGCTTGTAGAGTACAAGTTCTACTTCATATCAAGTCTTCTTATTTTTACTCAATATGAGGGTTGGGATAATCGGACTTGAGTAGTATTGAGAAGACTGAGGCAGGCTCAATGGATTGAATTTGGTAAATTTACACTCTTATTCAATTAAAAACGATAACATTACATTGAACACTCCATTTGCACACCATCTTTGAGTCCTGACGTCCAACGCTCCAGCCTTCTTCCATTCCTGTTGTTGCTTCCTTTTCTTCCTGTTGGTACTCCATTTACTTCTTGCTTTTGCTCTATTTGCTTTCCGCTTTCCTCTTCTGACCGTAAGACTTCTTCTTTCACGTCCATTCTTATACTACTTATATCGTTCGTATAAATAGCACACACCACAGTATGTCGTGTTGCCGGATCCTCGATCCTCGCTCTCGTTTGCTGACTAGGTAAATTCGTAATAGTTCAAGCACATCAAAATGACGTGTTTACGTGCAGGTGTAACAGTTTTATTATTTTTAAATTAATTATAGTTTCAAATAACCTATAAAAAAAGTATATATTTATCCGATTAAAATCAAATGAATCGAAATAAAACTGTCAACTAAAAAATCTTTTTTTTTCACAGAATTAAAAACAAACAGAAATTTAAACACTAATAAAAATACAATAATATGAATGGACATTATTAAATTGATAATAGTAAAATGATATCGTCCAACAGTGATGATGTAAATTTATGAATTAGCATGTGTTAGAGTAAAGACTAAAAAACTCCACAATATAGAGATGGTAGTGTGGTGATGATATGGCGTTGAAAAACATTAACAAAATGAATGGGGTATTAGCTATAGAAGACAGAGATGGTGGAGAAAACATGTAGCTCAGGTGGATGATTGTGGTGTTTTGTTCTCTGAGCTGGTTATTTTGGTTGTGGAGCTTTCATTGTTCTTCTGAACAACATCATCAGCACAAACTTCAGATAGAGGACTGGATGAGTTTGCACAAGTCTAAGATCATCTGAAGACTGATAGAAAACAAAGGGTACGTACTTTCGCCTGTTGCCCCCTAGGGGAGCATAGGACGTTGAAATCCATTCTCAAAACAACTTAGTCCTAGGCTTTCCTTTCTAGTTCTACTCAACTGGTATTCATCCTTTTGTCAGAACACAAAGTGATCAGATAGAAATCGGTAAGATTTTGAAAATTCATTAAAATGGATTGGGTAATTATAAAAGAGTATTTGATGAGCTTACACCACCAGTCTAGAATACTGAGCCAGTGATTGCCAAAGTGTTATTATTTTGTCACAAAATTCAATCTTATTTGTCAATAGTGACCGATTAGGTAAAACCGCACCTTCAGGTATGATATTTGCACTTACAAACATATGTTTGCATGTATCAACGTACACGAAGGAAAAAGCAAAATTCTTCGATACAACACAACATACACCAACTGAATCAAACTTGATGGACAAGCTTTGAAAGATGTTGAAACCTTTATAATATTTGGTTAGCAAAATCGATGAGTGATTGGGATCTGATGCAGATATGAACGCATGGATCGTCAAAGCAAGGACAACACTTCTACAAATGAACAACATCTGTAACTCAAATATAACTATCAACCAATACCAAAGTCAGAAACAGATACAGAAATGAGAAGAATGAATAACAGTTGGAAAGAACTAGAAAGAAAGACCCAGGACAGAGTAAATTAAAGAATGCTAGTCTGCGGCCTATGGGGGTAACAGGCGTAAACTAAACTTATACAGTTTAGTAGCAGTAATCTAAACGCTGAGTGGTTCTTCACGGCTGTATTAAGTTTGGTAATGTTGATTGAACGAATCTGTTCATGTTATCTAAAATTTAATCAAACAAAAAACTAAAAATCATTTAATTGACATATGTGAACATGGTGGTTGGTTATCGTGTTAAATATCAGTCTTATCAGTTCAGTCATGTTAAATACAATAGTTTGTACAGATCTTTTTTTCTAAAAGAGGAAACTGACAGTCTGTACCTCTGCTCAAAGTTATCACCAATAATATAATAAACATGTTATCTGTTCATGATTTAAAATCATAATCGCCTTCATAAATCACAACAAAAAAAATGGAAATAGGAAATACAGAAATGTTTTTTTTTATATTCAATACTGGATTATGTTAGAAAATTGAACACAGATGATTATCAACAAAATTGGATTGTTGAATCGACTGATTGATGAATAGATCATTTCATCAACAGTATAATGTACAATTGTAACGTTATAATTTATTTGTTTCAATCTGTTATATTTCAATGTACAATATTATTATTAATCAGTGAACTTGATATACTTTATTTCTCGCTGATTGTCATTTGTGAAATAAAGTTGTTAATTATATAACTGATATGAAATTTTGAAGCAAAATAGCCTAAATGAATTGCAGCTGGCGTAATAAATTCAAAAGAAGTGTTTTGTGCTGAATTAGAGTCATTCATCAATTGAATGTATTTGCGACTTAATGTTGATTTTCATATTGAAACCCCGAATCGATTACCTTTCATTTGAAACACGAAATTGTTACTCTGTACACCTGTCTATTAGATTTGATGTTCATATCACTGTTACGGCTGAGTTTAAATTATCTCTACATTTTATTAATTGTCGTCATGTCAAATGAATCTATCAAGAAGTTTCTATCAAACTTAAATCCCTGATCTCAACAACAGGCTAACCAAAAGCTTAACCAAAAATAATGTCAACATTATCTCCAATAAACATGGGCTGAACTGAGAAACTGAATGGATATTACAATAAAGTTTAAATTAAAATAAATTATCGAAATCATGAATCGATTAATGTTATCAGACCTCCTCCATTAGAAACCTGAACGTAATGGACGGCAATCGGTGCGCATTGCTGATAAGTTCCATATTTGGACGAAACTGTGGTCAAATTATTTCTTTCATACAATCAAAGCTAAATTTTTGACGTGTGAAATTAATCCGGAAAAGAAAACTCACCATTCGCTTAAACAGCAGACCACATGGATTGATTTTTATTATTTCTAATGAAAACATAGACCGCCGACGTTATACCACATATACTTTGTTGTTTGTTATTCCGCTTCTTTACTGCATAATTGATTAACGGTAACTACTAACATAAAATACAGTTATTTTTTTCTCTTTCAAATCATCATGTATTTAATTTATACTACTATATATAACTTGTTAGTAGTTTCATAAACACAAAACAAGAACACGAGATTAATAACTGTGTCTCTTGTTTTCTAACTAGTTAGAAAACCTAAGAACGAGATGGAGAAAACGGTATGATGATTTTTTCACATAGTGAAATTAACGTTTTATGAATCAAATATTAAGTTGAAATTGATTATTATTAATAGTAGTAGTAGTAGTAGTAGTAGTAGTAGTAGTAGTAGTAGTAGTAGTAGTAGTAGTAGTAGTAGTAGTAGTAGTAGTAGTAGTAGTAGTAGTAGTAGTAGTAGTAGTAGTAGTAGTAGTAGTAGTAGTAGTAGTAGTAGTAGTAGTAGTAGTAGTAGTAGTAGTAGTAGTAGTAGTAGTAGTAGTAGTAGTAGTAGTAGTAGTAGTAGTAGTAGTAGTAGTAGTAGTAGTAGTAGTAGTAGTAGTAGTAGTAGTAGTAGTAGTAGTAGTAGTAGTAGTAGTAGTAGTAGTAGTAGTAGTAGTAGTAGTAGTAGTAGTAGTAGTAGTAGTAGTAGTAGTAGTAGTAGTAGTAGTAGTAGTAGTAGTAGTAGTAGTAGTAGTAGTAGTAGTAGTAGTAGTAGTAGTAGTAGTAGTAGTAGTAGTAGTAGTAGTAGTAGTAGTAGTAGTAGTAGTAGTAGTAGTAGTAGTAGTAGTAGTAGTAGTAGTAGTAGTAGTAGTAGTAGTAGTAGTAGTAGTAGTAGTAGTAGTAGTAGTAGTAGTAGTAGTAGTAGTAGTAGAATAAATACCTCAAGGCTGTTTTGATCAATGTGACTTATCTCAGTGTCATTAAAATGCATAATTTGATTTATATTCTACCAGAAAAAAAACTTAAAACTGGTTAACTAATATTATTATTATTATTGCAAATTATAACTGATTACAAAAACATCTAGAGATATAAAGCGTGTGTTTTATCTTGACAAAATCATATTTTTTAATAGAGTAACTTCTTACCGGTGACCGATTGAGACCAAAAAAGTGGTAGTTCACTGATAACATATCTATGTAACTAGAGAATGGAATGATAGAATCTTCCAAGATGTTCTCTAGTTTACTTTTAGGAAGGATTACAACTAAATATCATGCTGATGAGTTAGGTACATGTAATATGGCATTTAGAAAATGGGTTTCTTGTTCATCATTCATCATTCAATCGTAGCATTAAATTACTCTGTTGAGCTGGAATTTTTTTTATTTGATATTATTCTATCTGAGACAAATGACAAATATGTAGAAAGAAATATCGTAAAATATTACCACTTACTACTTTATTTACGTTAAAGTCTGTTACCCCTAATGGAGCATAGGCTGCCAACCAGAGAATTATTTTCTCTGGTTAGCGTATTTTTAGCCAGTTGGATGTCTACATAAATGAGGACGTTAACCAGATGCCCAGCTCTCCTTCTTTACTAGAGATTCGGGTCGGCAGTAACTTCTAAAAGAGCTTCGGATGGAGTTGTATTATTATTGTAGTCCTTATAAAATCTAAAAGAGTTGTGTATTCCTTCACTTTTGCTTTGGTTTTTAGACAAGAAATAAAAATTTCACTATGGTGTAACTCTGTTATCCACGCTGGTGATCAATCGACTTTTGTTCATTTCTTATTGAATATATATGTATATCTTATAAGACATAACAACTTTGTAAGCTTGTAACATAAAAACGTCTAGCTTATCAAATTGTCAATCAATCATTGTTAGACCACCATTAGAAACCTGGAAGCATTGGACGGCCGTTTCTCCCTGGTATAGGAACCATCAACAGTGCGCATCCACGATCCTGCACCTCGCAGGATTCGAACCCGGGACCTTCGGTATTGTGCTCGAACGCCTAGTTATCGGACCACTGAGCCGGCATCCAACGGTGCAGGAGTCGTGGATGCTCACTGCTGATGAGTCCCATACCAAGACGAAACTGCTGTCCAGTGCTTCCAGGTTTCTAATGGTGGTCGAACAATGATTGATTGATGATTTCAAATATGTAAAAGCACTTATCTCCAAAACTCTAACTGAAAATTATCAAATTGTATCTTTGCTCTGTAGCCACTGCAATCCAATGCTTAACAAAATATGTCTGTATCTACTCTATCGATGAAAGAATGGTGAACATTGCCAAATATCGTGGTTTGTAATGCTCATATTTAGACAAAAACTATAGTTTTTGTTGCAACTTAGATGACACACATTCATTAGTTTTAGCCACACACTGTATAAAGAAAAATCGATTGACTCCTTTGAAAAATACCGATTAATTTTAATATTACACAAAAAGATGATGGAAACATTTTATTACTTAAACAAGTTTCATTCTCAATATTGCAAAAGCTAGTGTGTGTGTGTGTACAGATAGTTTGGCGTGAAAGAGAATTTAGGGGTAAACAGAAGAATCAGGTTATCACAAAAAATTTCATCATTGAGTATCGAACAATGACATGTCTGTACAGTCGATTATGTTTGCTAATAAAATTCTATCACTGAGCGATTCAAGTCATCATCTTTTGCGTTGAGTCATGTGAACTAAAATTTTACATTGGGAATTGATATGGAGATAGCTATATCAGGCCCACTCCCAGGGAACCTAACCAACGAATGAGTGAACATCTGCCAGAATAGTTTAAGAAGGGTCAGTCAAAAACAATACTCAGTTCTATCTTCTTAGCAAACCTGGTTGATTGTAGTCATGTTGTAGATAAGTCTAGATCTTTTCGGGTGATCTGTCGTATACCTCAATCATTTCCCAACGGAGTTCGGTCCTGTCTCCTACACATAGCAGAAGACATAGGAATTCAACCCCAATTTATGTGTTCAGAATAAATTCGTGACACTCCTATCTCTTCCGTGGCCGGATATGACGGAATTAACGATTTAAGATTTAAAATTTTTTGGTTTAAATTTTATTTTGTTATTATTAGCATTATTTTCACATCCTGTAATTTGTTGGTAATTTTCTGCCTCTTTCCGTTTATATTCTACACTATCTAATTATGTACACACTTTTTATGACGTAATGGTTTTAATGTTTTGTCAGGGTTATTTTAAGTCTATTTTTATCCACGTTTGACCTACTATTGACAAAAACTTTTGTTATCGTGTTTTATTTTTCTTACTACTATCAACTTGTACTTTTGCCTGTTATGTGTAGTGATCTAATTGAATTCATTTCATTGGGATTGTTGACTCATAAACTGCCTTGATCAGGTTAACATTTTCATATAAAACTATTCATGTGTATTATAGAGTATAAAGCCTGATGACGATCTAATCGAAAACAATGCAGTATTGTTCGCTTGTGTTGTTTTAATTTCACAATGAGAATACTTATATGCAACTTTTTACTTACAGTCGTTATCACAAATTTATTAACTGTTCTACTTTTGCTTGAATAATGAGTATTATTCATTCGTACTCAATGATACCATACTTATTGAAATAAGTGATAAATTAACTTGCTCAATATTGTTCTTATGTTCTTATGTCATTAGACACTTCATGATGGATTGGTTTTGAAATAACAATAATAATCCAACCATGACAAACCATCGTATATATATAGTGTTGCAATAAGACTGGAAAAATATTATCAATCAGTAAGAGCAAAAAATAGACATTTTTGGGCAATTTCATTTGTATCAGTGTCAGTTGATAAATAAACAGATGTCTGGAAACTGACATAACACTCTAAAATAATACTAGACCAAAATTTATAGCTTGTCAAGTAATAAAGGTAACAGTGTGGTGAGCGCTACTTATAAGTATTATCTGACGCGAGTAAAAACGTAATGTCTGGCAGCAGAAGATGAGGGAACATCAAGAAAGGAAGAGTTAGAAAACAATGGAATTTGTGTGAAACGCATGAATAGTGACAATGGATTGATGTTTTGCAACAGGAACAGTCCAGTTCGATATGATGGACTGATATTTTGCGAATGATCGATTTACGATATGGTTTTCCGATTTTACTAAGTAACTCTGTAATTTTCGTTAAATACAATCCGGTTGCCCCACCTGAGTTCTCGTTCACTACATTTGGTGGCGCTGCCAGGATGAAGGAAGTAGCCCCCGTGGCCGAAGGCGTTTGAGGACGGAGATGTGCGGAGCTTCCTCGAGGAGTTGAGGGCCGTGTCGGAGCTGGTGCGTGTGGTGGAGCCGAAGACGAGGTTGGTGGTGCTGGGGACGCTTCTCAGAGGTAGGGCAAAGGCCTTATACGATAGCTTTGACGGTGCTGGCGGGAAGACGACATGGGAAACGGTCATTAAGTGGTTGATGACGGAGTTCGACAGCCCAGTAGACAGTTAGGAAGCGCTGCAGAGGTTGTAGGTCGATGGTGACCTACTGGTGCTGGCTGTGGAGCTTACCAGATTGTTTCGCCGTGCGTTGCCGAATATCGATGAGGAGTCGGAGGCACAGTTGTTGGCGTCATATACTACTTATAAGTAGCGCGCACCACAACAGTAGTCTACTCAGATTACTGAGGATCTGTTAGACAAACACCATCAGCAACAATCTGTTGTGTGAGAGAACAAACCAGATCCCAGCGGGGGAAGAAAACAAAAAGCAGCTGTTAAGTCCGTTACTAGATGCGCTTGAAGCTAGTACGAGTTCACCTTAGTCGATAAAAGCAAACGAGACAATGAACCAGCGTCCAGGTAGGCTACCTTGATCTCAAAACTGCAAAACAGAAGTCTTGATAAGCGTAGAAAGTATATTCTACAAACACCCAGCAAGCACAATACAATCAAGCACACAACTCTCGTTTATTTATACCTCATAGAAACGTTCTTGCGACAGTCACAAAAACAGCACACTAGAATACACAGCAGCTAATCACAGCCAAGGTTTCCCTGTTGAGAAGTGAAATCTCAATGTCAACTGCTAAACAACTATTGGACAGAACTGGAAGGGTAGGGCTCAGGATAGCGTAGGATGGAGAATGCTTGTCGGTTGCTTGTGCTGCACTAGGCGTATGAGGCGAAAGTAATTTAAAGTATAAGAGTAATGGTGGCGAGAAGAAATCTGATTATGTATAATAATCTTTTAGAAAGTAATGTGATAATAATAGTAATAATAGTGTTATTACTAATGTGTTTTCAACGGAGCATCATATATAAGTTGCATGTACTTTATGTGAATTGCGGCTAATGTCTGCCTGCGTTTTCAAATTCTCAGTTATATGAGGTACAATTACTTTAACGAAAATTCTGTTTTAAGTGATATGGTTGCAGCAAAACAGATATTTTAAATGGAAAATGTTGATGAGTTAATATTTACTGAGGCTAAAACGATTTGTTGAGTGTTGGTAGTGCCAATAAATTCATTCACCTAGCCAAAGTTCGCAACATTCAATCAAGTCATTTCCATAGGAGTAATCAAGTTTGACGAATAAATAAGAATATTTTTGAAACCACGAATCGATCAATGTTAGACCACCATTAGAAACCTGGCTCAGTGGTCCAAAGGTTAGGCGTTTGCGCACAATACCGAAGGTCCCGGGTTCGAATCCTGCGGGGTGCAGGAGTCGTGGATGCGCACTGCTGATGAGTCCCATACCAAGACGAAACAGCCGTTCAGTGGTTCTAGGTTTCTAATGGTGGTCTAACATTGATCGATTCATGGTTTCAGAAATGTGTAACTTAACAATCTTCTCAACTCCGTAGTGCAAATACGAATGTGACTCAGTATTTTTCAATTTATGTATGGTAAAGTACTCTGATCTAACTTTATAGATCCAATATAATTGTTGAAATGATTCAGACTAGAGTCGAAGTACTAACATTTCGCTTACAATTTTCATACCATATTGCATACATCATGTAAATATTATCGACAAACATGAAATCTTTAGCGTTATCCAGAACTTATTAATTTTATTTAATTTCTCATAGGGAACATTAGAACAGTAAACTTTGTTTTGATTAAACGGATTAATGGTAGCATTAATTCAACTTATGATGAGATCAGTGAAGAACGAGCTTATTGATTGATAACTTATGAATGGCGGCCTTTTGTTTAGATACAATTTTTTTCTATATTTCAATGTTTTGTTCAAATAGACAGAATTTATGATTTAATTTTATGTAAATCATAAGTCAACAGAAATTATTTTGAGTATTGTTGAGATAATTAAATTTAATTTCAACCATGAATCAGTCTGCGTTAGATAGCTACTAAGAATTTGATTTCCGTGGGTTGGTATCTTATTCTAGCATAAAACTATTGAGAAATGAACAGTCTCGAACCCACACCTAACAATCGAAACCAAGACATTCGTTCTTACGTCAATTAATTGCTGATTTCAATGGAACTTAACATTTTTAGCTGGTAGATATCATGAGCTTACTGCTGGCTATCTTCGCGATTAGATTTCCAGAGTTCATCTCTTCAACTCTACACAGAGTGCAGAATTCATTAGGAGGAGGCTAAGTAATCACAAAATCTTCTTCAGTTGTCCTTTTTTATTAAAAACGTTGTGAGAAATCTTTCTTAAAAGACTTAAAGTGTAATTTTTTCTAAATAAACTTTAAAACGCATCATCAAAAAAATTGATTGAACAAATCGATAAACTTCTGTTTTTTATGATGGATGAAGTATCATAAATATTTGTTTCTCATTATTACTACATAAATGTATTAAAATTGAAAAGATAACTATGGTTTAGGTAAACTAGCTGTCAATTTATTTAACTCTACAATTAACATCATTTTGAAATTTTGTAAAAATAATGTATATATGCCAAATGAGACTGATCAATCTACAGATGACGATGCCAACTCTAAAAAAAAACAATTGAAATTGATTCACGTTGTACATCACAGTAGCTAAATGTGAAAATTACCACTGTACTGCAGGTACATTCAGTTGACAAATTCCAAATAGAACGAAATATACATGTCCGGAAGTTCTCTGTTAGTTACAGTTAAAGATCTGCCTAATTTACTTGTCAACAATCAGAAGGCATTTGTTAGGATATTCATCAAATATCATAAGAGGATTATTTTTAAGTCTAATTCTAATGGTCAATTCCTGTTGGTCATCCTAGCTATCAATGTCACATACTTTAATGTTGTTTCCTATTCGACCGAACTGTATAAATATGCATTATCTGTAATGTTTTATGACCCGGACCCAGATCCCTAGTCCGGGATCCTAATTCTCTTCTGGACTAGGGCCTCGTACTTTCTGGATGCTTGTAGAATACATGTTCTACTTCATATCAATTAGGGGGTTGGGACAATCGGATTAGAGTAGCCCATAATGTCGCTGGATCCTCGATCCTCGCCCTCGTTTTCCGACCAAGGTAAATTCGTAATAGTTCAAGCATATCAACCGAAGTGTTGATGTACGTGCGTAGCAGCAAACTCATGTCAATCCATACAGGATGCACACAGGCAGACCTTAACATGAGGAAGAATGTTGGCAACCACCTCAACAAATGAATGAAACTAATTTTTCATTGTGTGTAAATAATTTTGTTATTCTATATTCCCCATGATTTATTTTGCGAATTGATTCATCCATGCGAAAAATACACAAATTATGACTGCTATCAAATTTCAATTACATATCTAGCTAGCTCTCTCTCTCACACACACACACACACATTGTTTTAACATCTTCTATGTATTATTCCCAATTACACATTTGAAATTTCGCTTATCATTTCGGTTAATTTTGTTGATTTTAATAGAAAAAAAACGGTACACAAAGTTTTTGTTTTACAAAAAGAAAAAGTAAAGAAAATTACAATGAATAAATAAACAAACAAACAAATTATTCATTTAATTAAAATTTTTTAATTTTAAATGAATTTTTTTCAATTCATTTGATTATTTTCTCTGGAAAACAAAATAGCGAGAAGAAGAAGAAGAGAACCGAAAATGCGCGTAACCAAAAGATTGAACTGCATGATACTTTTCCAATGAAGATATATTTTAAAACAATTATTTTTTTTTTTAAGAAAAAAATTGTTTACAATTTAATTTTTTTCAATTATTATTATTATTATTTATGTTATATCGTTGTGTAAAAATTAATTGTAAATTATGTTTTGATATTTCTCGACGTAGATTTCTTTAAATAATTATATTTTTTATTTGGATTTTTTTGGATTTACAAATTTCTGCCATTGAAACCTTGAATCGATCATTGTTAAATCTGCATTAGGAACCCATCCACAAGCACTGGACGACCGTTTCGTTCGGCTATAGGACTCATCAGCATGGTGGACCCACAATTCTCGCTAGTTGCAGAAATCGAAATCAGAACCTTCGCTTTTGAGCGTGAAAATATAATCTCTGGATCACTGAGTCTTCGTCCATAGGCATTAATGTATAACTGAGATCAATCTTAGAATTTTACACAACCTCCATAACTGTATAGCGAGAAAATTCTCAGGGTTCTTGTAAGAAGAGGTGACCAATGGAGTTCAACCCTGTCAGGTGTAGGTAGTATCTACTGAATACAATGTGTGAGTTTGCGTATAATCTTTAGAATGATCTGAGTTCGACATAAACAACGTAGAATGCAGACTTAGTGATCCAGAGGTCAAATGTTTGCGCACAAGATCGAAGGTTCTGGTTTCGGGAATCGTGGATGCGCAATGCTTATGATTCCTATACCAGAACGAAACGACCGTCCAGTGCTTGTAGGTTTCTAATGGTTGTGGTGGTGTTTCGTTCTCTGAGCTGGTTGTTTTGGTTGTGGAGCTTTCATTGTTCTTCCACCGAACAACATCATCAGCACAAACTTCAGATAGAAGTGGAGCATTCGAATTTCTCCACGTTTGACCTGTAGCTTGTTCTGCTAACCTCAATCTTGATTGGTTGCTGTTGACCTTTGACCTGTCGTTGTTTGCAACTTTGTTTTGAATGCACTCCCCTTTTGATCTGTTTCGTGATCCTGTGTCACCTATGATTTTCCTGATTGGTTGATAACTTGGGTCAATGTCGATGTGTTTGTTGATTGCTAATTGACCTGAGTGCCAAGCTTCTAAACATTCTCTAGTGTATTTTGTGCTCCCCCTACCCAGTATTTCCACATTGTTCCAATCAAATGTGTGTCCATAATTTTCGGTGTGTATTGATATAAGCGAAGCGTTGTCGTGGCGTTTGACTGCTAATTGGTGTTTACGTAAACGGAGCTGAAGATGTCGTCCACTTTGTCCTATGTAATGTTTTTCACAGTTTGAGCAATTTATTTTGTAGATGATATTTGGCTTTTCTTCCTTTGTCATTCTGTCCTTTGGTCTACATAGGATTGACTGAAGTGATTCTGTTGGTTTGTGTGCCACACCTATTCCAAATGGTTTCAGTAGTCGTGCCGTATGCTCCGATATGTCTTTGATGTATGGCAGGATGATGCGTTTATTTGTTCCTGTGCTTGATTTCACTTCTGATGATGGTTTCGGTTGATGTTTTCTGATGAAGTTGCGTGGATAGCCGTTCTTTTGGAAGATAGTCATCATGTGTTTTTCCTCGTTTTTTAATGTTTCGTATGTGCTGCAGTGTGTCTTCGCTCTCTTGAACAGAGTTTGTATGCAGTTAATCTTGTGGGTTCCTGGGTTGTTGCTGTTGTAGTTAAGAATTACGTCGGTGTGGGTTGGCTTCCGAAATACTTGAGTTACTAGTTTTCCTGTGTTAGTTCTGGTGATTAGTACATCCAGGATTTAACGATGACTGATTCACTATTTCAATATAAAACAACGCTCTGTCATGAAAAATTTATAAATATTTTTGTCAAAAAACGGTTGATTTTATCAAAATTAATCCAAATATTCATTTTATTTCAATATAATTGATCCGACCACGACCTTGTGGTGGACTAAAGCAAATACAAGTACGCAAATAAGATTGCATGATACAAGTTGGAATATTAATCATAGATGTATTTCGTAATTAGGCAGACAGATGACAAAAGAAGCCTTATTTGTGTAAAGTTTTGAATGACCAACAGCACAATGACTCAGAAAACAACATGTCATGTAAGAAGTACAAAGAATGCATAGATTTATCAATGTACTATCATCATACATGCATGCATAAGACATGGTCAAGGTTGTCTGTGAATAAATGACAAAAATCAATAAATTCGAATGATTCATTCTGAGTGCAAACCAAGTATAGTAAGCGCAAATAAGAAAGAATGTAGAGAGGATGACACATTCGGTCATGTGATGTTCACTGAACCATTGCCTATTCAACAAGAATCCAAAGTGAGTTCCTCAAGTACCTGATTAAAAATGATAATAATTATTGGACAATAAATAGACAAGTTTATGATTGATTGTTGGGAATTAACTGGAATAGTAGTATTTATGGTACCTAACTAAATTGTGAGCAAACTGTAAGATTGAACGATTAGTTGTATGACATTAGCTATTGAGAGAGTGACAGAGAGAGAACACAGGTATGAGTGAGTTGTACAACTCTTGTACTATTTGTGCCACAATCATTTTACTCATGAAATTATGCTTTATAATCGATAATTATAAATTATTATATACATGAAGTGAGTGAACTAATGGAAATTATCATTTTAAAAAAAATAGCAATGATTTACAGAGTAAATCTAAATTAACTATCTATTTATCGAAATCCAATAGGAATATTGTTATAACAAATCAATAATAATTGATAATTACACTAAATTAAAAAACAAAATTTCTATTTAATGGATCTTCCTATTTTACTACTAATTACATAATGAGTAGATATTTATTATATATACATTATGACAAATAAACAAATGTATCTTCATTTATATTCATGATCATAGGGAAATATATCTTTGATTGAAATAGTTGATTTTATTTTACGTACACTTTCTATCAACTAAA